CATGTATAGCCTTTGTGAAGTGCAACCACTGAGTAAAATGCATTGACTACAACTTTTAGAGTAACTAGAACCCATTCTCTCACAAAGATTTCTGTTAAGTGTGCATCACAACTGAATCTGTCCCTATTCCATATATCAGTACCTTACAACAAGAATAATTGAATAGCAACTTTGGCCTTTTTTAAAAAAATCTATTTTCATACCCCACAGGTACTCCGACAGCACCTTTAACTGCTGTTCTGGGTGAGATTATAATAATAATCTTTGCATTTCATATAGTGCCTTATCATGTTGTTGAGACATTTCAAAGAGTTTCACATAATATACTGTAAAGTGAATTGACTGTATATTTTGTGGACGAAACCGGCAGCCAATAATTGCACACAGCAGTGTCCTGCAAACAGTCGCGGATTCAGTGACCAAATTATTATAGATTTTTTATATGAAGAGATTATTACCCCCAGAAAGTGATCCACCAATCAGCTAACAATTGGGTTCCTACTTACTGCGAGGTAAACAGGCGTGTGTACTTCGAAAATTTGCCTAAGATTTCACCCTGCCCGGAAATCAAACCTGGGTCCTTTCACTTGCGAAGCGAACGCGCTAAACACTATGCTATGGAACTCCACAATTGAAAGAAAATGCATATAGCATGGCAGACAACTGTGAATTAATGAAGTTATTTATTTTGATTGTATTTGTACTTTTTTCTGGACAAACAATAGCTTTCATTTGCTGAGGCTGAGTGTTACATGTCTCTGGAATTGAAACTTTGCCATTTAGCAGGAGGATACTGGACAAGGAACTCTTTGTCATCAAGTCCTTGGACTCTGATCTGTACTAAATTGAATTCTAGTAAGACAACTCTTTATCTTGCAACATACAAGTGAAGAGATTAGAGTTTAGACACAGGAGTGAATGTTCTAGTTAATGTTTTCATAGCATATTAGAGGTTTTGAGAAGTTTTGAAAATTCTCAGCAAGTTGACAACAGTGACTAATTAGATTCAAATGTTTGAAAACATTTCCAAAGATTTCCAAAGAATGTACAGCACAGAAACAGGCCACTCGACACAATAAGTCCCTGCCAATGTTTATACTCCACATGAATCTTCACCCATTCCTTACTCCATCCCATACCTTCTATTCCCCTCATGTGAAGGTCGAGCTTCCTCTTGAATGGCCTTCAGTCCCCATTGGCCTTTTTCTAACCTTATTTTTTATAGCTTTATCTTCCTGTGTAGCTATTTTCAGATCTGAATCCCTAGATCTCTTTCCTCCTCTACTCCTCTTAACTTCATACCATCTAGACGAGGGATGGCCAACCGTTGGGCCACCCAAGTGACAACTTTACACATGCATACTACGGCCCGCAAGCCTCATGTTGGCTATCCCTGGATCTGGACTATACACGGTTTTTTTATTTCTCCTGCAAAATACTCCTGCTGCTGCTCGCTGCATCTCACCAGGTTGCACGAGGCAGTGTGAAACGTGAATGCTGCCTCATAGAGACTGACTAGAAGAGAGGTACGGCCAGTTGGTAAAACAGTGAAGTTGGAAATAGTTTGAGGGCTGGACAAATTCATCCATCAGGCCGGAACTGAACTGGCTCCAAGGTGATATGCCTGTCAATGGAATGTCAGAAGTGAGCCTGCCCTCTGTGGCAGTCTCGGTAGTCCGGTCCCTGAGTCAGGCGGGTAAGCAGTATTCCAGGGCACTGCTGATGACAGCACAGCCAGTCTGGCCCATCAGCAGGACTTGGAAGGGCAGACCAGTCACTGGAGGTAGGGAGTCATCCACTCAGCTCCTGTTAACCCTGCAGCCAAAGCACTAACAAATAGGGTGCTCCGAGCTGGACCAGCAGTGGGAAAGCTTGCCAGACAGCAATATCAATGACAAGCTGTGTGGTTTTAGCTGATTAGACTCCAGCAATATCCCAACGCATACTCTAGGGTCCCCAAGCCTTGGCTCTTACCAACCTGCACCTAATACTTTCTGGAATTAGGTGAGCCGGATGTGTCCCTCCAGGGAGGGAGTGAGCAATCCATTCCAACAATCTATCTCTGGGATTTCTATGTGCAAGTTGGATGCATGGAAATCTCACCTTGGTTTGGATACTCTAAAGCATGATGATGGGTTTCCACACATGTCAGACACCCGGCTGACCCCACCCAAAAAACATGGCTGTTTGTTCACAAATAGGCTACTGGTTTGCCTACAAAATAAACACTTGACAACAATTATTTGTGAAGCTTTTTGAAATGTTTATATCTGTTAATATCTGTGAAATTTCAATAATACAAGATACTCCATTACAACAACGAGTTAGTTTTACCCATAAAATTATTTGAAACATGCAAAAGCAACAATTTCCTAAGTGAAAACCAAACAGATTTTCAGAGTATTGTATAAAATATTTACTATGATCATCAACAACAACAAAATTACATTTGTATAGCGCCTTTCACGTCGGGAGGACATCCCAAGGCGCTGGACGATCAGTGTTTTGGATCCGAGTTGGGGGTCGGGATTGGGGATGGTGGAGGGCAGGTAGGAAGGAGGGTCATCAAAGGCATGGTCAAAAAGGAGGGTCTTGAGGTGGGTCTTGAAGGAGGCAAGGGAGGGGACAAGACAAAGAAACTTGGGATGGAGTTCCAGAGGGTGGGGCCAGAGTGGCTAATGGTGGGGCAGGCGAGGCGGGGAACGTGCAGCAGGCCAGAGCACGCTGAGCGGAGGGAGCGGGCAGGTTGGTAAGGGGTGAGGAGGTTGTAGAGGTAGGAGGGAGCAAGGCCATGGAGGGCTTTGAAGGTGAGAACCAGGATCTTGAACTATATCCTCTGTGTGATGAGAAGCCAGTGGAGTTGGGCGAGGATGGGGATGATAGGGTCACAGAGCCTGGTGCAGGAGAGGACATGTTATCAAAGACAATGGAGAGGTCAAGGAGGACAAGGAGGCAGAGTCGCAGATGGACAAAATGTCATTTGTCACTTTGATCAAAACTGAGTTGTTTCTGTGCTGTGGGCACCCAATTAGAGGGGTTCATGATGGGAGTGGCAGGAGAGGAAGGAGGGAAGCCGGGTACATATTACACATAACTTCACAAAGATGGATATTAATGAAGCATGATCACCTTGCAAACCACTTTGCCAGGTTAGTAAGCAGGGGATTACATGATGACATAGCAGCAAATAAAACACCCAGGTAACCTTCCTCTGAGGAAATGTAGCAAACACTAACCTGCTGACTGCATAATTTAGCATCAATGTGGTTTTATAAAACTTCTTAATAGAATCAAATTGATAATTGTTCATGATTGTTCAGATTCAACTAATGATTCATTAGGAGCCTCCAAGTATTTATCAAGTACCTGAACAGCTAACTATGCATTAATGTTTTTCTCCAACATATATTATAAAAGGCAAGAGAGGTAGGAAGGAAGAAGACCCTTTGGCCCATTTGATTTCATCCTCTCAATCCTGATCCTTCAAAACCATGATCCTGTGTTTTCGCTTCCCGCTGATTTGGTACCTCTGAAAGTAGTCTACTGGATTTACTTTCTCAATCCCAATTAGCATATCATACTTCTAGATGTCAGTCTGACTCAGTTGGTAGCACTCTTGCCTCTGGGTCAGAAGGCTGTGGGTTCAAGTTCCATGTTGTTGTTTTGAGCTCATTGTTTAGGCTGAAACTCCAGTGCCGTGCCTGGGGGTCCACTGCATTGCTGGAGGTGCATTCTTCAAATAAGACACATATCAAGGTACCGACTGTCTCTTCAGGAGAACGTTAAAGATCTTATGTCTCATCCCAACCAAGTTTTCCTGCTTCTTTCAGTTTCCTCCAAACCACAGAGTACCAATTTGCACATATATGATGGGTCAGGCAATATTCTATGTCCGTGAGGTAATGTTCTGCGTTTTGAGAAAACCAACATGTTGATATAACCTGACCGTTTACATTATTACTATTTATGAAATATTGCCTGCCTCCACCACTACCTCTTTTCTCGGGCTACAAAGGCCTTCACCCACGCTTTTATCATGTCCAGGTTGACTATACCAACACCCTGCTTATCTCTTTCCTACACAAACTGCAGACTATCCAGAAATCTGCAGCCCGTGTCCTTTCCTGCACTCAGCACTTTGAACCTATCACCCCATCCTCCCTACTGGCTCCGTATTTCCCAGCAGATCAAGTTCAAAATTCTGATTCTCATCTTTAAATCATTCCATGATCTCGCCCCACTCTACCTCTGCCACCCCCTTGAACTCTGCCGACCTGGACACTCCCTTTACTCATTGACCAGTGGCCTATTTCATGTCCCCGTTCTACCATCAGCGGGAGGGCCTTCACCCTTTCTGCCCAAGCTCTTTGGAATTCTATCTTGGAGTCCTCTGACCTGCTCCCTCCCACATATCTTTCAATGTCCATCTCAAGACCGACCTCTTCGAACACACCTTCGGTCATCTTTGCCCTCCCCACCTCCCTCGGTTCCCACCCCCAACTCAGGTGCCAATCCAGCATTGTGAATGCATTTTGGGACGTCATCCTAATGGGAAGGTCCCTATATTAATGTAAATTGTGTTGTGTATTACAGTCTTACACATAGTATAAAAGATATACATTAGAAGTGATTTTCATTTCAAGAGATTATGAGAAGTGTAACAATGATGATACATGGCAATCAATTAGATGAATTACTGTGATAAATTGACTTGAATTTCCCTTTAACAATATTTATCCCACCTCCTGAATGAGTAGCTCTTCTGTAATTTAACATTATTGGCATAATGAGGGTAGATTAACACTGAGAATTGGCCCAATGATGAACACCAGCCTTACAACACCAGTCAGTCATACAGCGACGTAAATGAATTTAATAGCATCTTTGTGTATATCTTCCAAAATAAGTATTGTATTTTCATTGTATTCCCATTATAAACCCACAAACATACACTCTGGATGATGAAAGATCTCAAAGTCCAAACAATGCTTAGAACTTACTGCAATTTCTCTGCATGCAGACATGGAGATGCCAGTGCCTTCAATTTGTTTAAGAGCATACTCCTTTTCATCCTTCCTGCCAGAGAAAAGAAAAATTCAAACTGCTGAAATAAATGAAAGCAAAATACAATAGAGACATTTTTAAAATCTAAGCAATAAATAAAAGTACAATTTACCTGAACAATTTTAATATCTCAATTATTATTTGAAATGGGCAAGCATAAGAAAAGGATATGGATATCTCAAAATTAACCTTTCAACCCTAATGGCCATGGACTCTGCTCTTCACCTGCTATTCTACGAATTAACCACAAAATGCATCTATATAGCACCTTCATGCAGGATGGTGTCTTGGAAAGCTGAGTCAAGACCAAGAGAAATGGGTTAAAAAGAGCAGCATAAATTGCTATGGCTCAACACCAGAAAAGGCACCTCATGACCCAAGGTATATTTCCTCCAGAGAATCACATACAGCTGTCCGTCACACTAAACCATGAAATCCAGGGACACACTTTTCATTTTAAGAATAATTTTTCTGGTACCAAGGCACCATTTATTCTATTGTTTTCCCAAATCCCCATCTTCATTTGGAAATGGCATTCCATGGCCTTGCTCAATCCTATTTACACAATCTCCTGCAACCCTACCGACACAGCTGCTCTCTCCACCTAGCAAACACTGGGTCTTTGCATGCCCCCCACCATCAAAGAGCTTGCAACTATTCTGCCCCACTCTCTGGAACTCCATCCTAGAGGCCCTCTGCCTCGCCCCCTTCCTCTGCACTGTTAAAGCACACCTTAAAACCTTCATTTTCCGTGCTGCCCATAGCACAGAAACTGCCCTGGTCAAGGTCACTAATGACATCCTGACCATCTGTGACCAGGGCTCCCTCTGCCTCCTCGTCCTCCTCGACCTATCGGCAGCATTCGATATGGTCGACCACGCTATCCTCCTCCACCCCTTGTCCTCCCACCTCAACCTTCAAGGCCCTGTCCTTGAGTGGTTTAGGTCGTACCTCTCCCATCGTCTTCATTTTGTTTCCACAAATGGCTTTTCCTCCACCCCCCGCACTGTCTCGTGCGGTGTCCCTCAAGGCTCTGTCCTCGGTCCCCTCCTCTTCACCCTCTATATGCTCCCCCTCGGTGACATCATCCGCAGACATGGGGTTAACTTCCACACGTATGCGGATGACACCCAACTCTACCTTTCCTCCTCTACCCTCAACTCCACGACCACCGATGTCCTGACAGCCGCCTGTCCGACATCGAGTCCTGGACGAGAGATAACTTTCTTCAGCTCAACGTGCGCAAAACTGAGGCCCTCCTGATTGGCTCACGTCAGCGCCTCTGCACCTCAGGCGCTGACAGCATCAGCATCCAAGGCTGCACTCTCCACCTCTCAAAGCCAGTCAGGAACCTCGGGGTTCTGTTCGACCCTGAGCTGTCCTTTCTCCCTCATATCCGCACCACAACTGGCACCGCCTTCCATCACCTCCGGAACATCGCCAGACTACGGCACTACCTCACCCCTCACGCTGCTGAAACTCTGGTCCACGCCTTTGTCACCTCAAGGCTGGACTATGGGAACTCTCTCCTCGCCGGCCTTCCCGCCACCTCCCTCCACAAGCTGCAGGTCATTCAGAACTCTGCAGCTCGTGTACTGTCCCGCACCAGGCTTCGGGACCACATCACTCCCACCCTCGCTCGCCTCCACTGGCTCCCCATCCCCCAGAGGATCGAATTCAAGATCCTCATCCTCACCTACAAGGCCATTCACGGCCTTGCTCCCTCCTACCTCTCCAACCTACTATCCCCCTACCTACCTGCCCGTACCCTCCGTTCCTCTGGCTCCGGTCTGCTCCACGTCCCCCACCCCAATCGCCCTACTATTGGTGGCCGGGCCTTCAGCCTCTCAGCCCCGAGGCTCTGGAACTCCATCCCCCAGTGCCTTCGCCGCTTCCTCCCTTTCCTCCTTCAAGGCCGGTCTCAAGACCTTTCTCTTTGACCGTGCCTTCAGCTCCCCTCTCGACTCTCTACCCCTTCCTTGCTCCTTCCCTTCCCCTCACCCTGACCATTTCCCACTTGTCTGGGTCCTGACCCAACTGTACAGCGCCTTGGGACGTCCTCCCGATGTGAAAGGCGCTCTATAAATGGAATCTCATTGTTGTTGTTCATTTTCAACCTTGCTTTTGGTCATCTTTCCCCACCATCTTCAGCTCCTGCCCCAGCTAGATGTGTGAAATGGGTTGATACGTTCTCACAACGTGAAAGGCCCTATATAAATGTATAATTGTATTATTTTAGTCTAATTCCCTCTCCCTTACTCAACATCTCATGCACAAACGGTAATCACGCAACACAAAACACTGCTGCACTATTTATGTTTAAATAGCTGATAAAAAAAACAGAAAAAGTCAATGAACACATTAATTTACTTATTGTACAATGCCATTGTACATCACTTGCTACATCCCAAATCTGCTCTACATAATCGCAAAAGACAACTGGTATCTTCTCCCCAGGGACTGCAAGTGGACAGCTTAGTGTGTTCCTACGCAGGGAAGGGACTGGAAATTCAAATTTTTGTTGACATAAGTGGGATGTCGATAAGAATGGGTTCAAGATAAGTGGGTACAACTATATATGAAACCTACTAAGTTTATTCAGTAGAGTAGTAGTACTGCATTATTTATGTTGCTTTTCATCTTAAGTAATACATTATATTAGCTGAGAAAATAAAACCTCCTGTTCTATGCAAAAATACGGCTGCTTAGAAAGAGAGGGGCGCACAAGGGACATGAATCTTCAAAGAGGGGCACTGCAAAAAAAGGTTTGGAAATCTCCAACATCCAGCTCGGAAGCAAACCTTTGGAACTTCCTCCTGAGGTGAAAGTTGCTATATAAATGCAATCTATGTTTGTAAGAAATAAATCAGCAGGGCTGATCTGAACAAGTTCTCAAAAGCAGTCAATCATAAAATTAAATCTGTAGCAACTATAGCAGTAAATTACAAAGAAGTAACACAACAGACTAGTTAGATAATCTCATAAACATACAAAGAGAGAATCACGCTTTATGATGGAAGTAATGATGACATTGGACGTTTTAAACTCCATTTGTAATTTATGTAAATTTAACATGATTTACACATAAGCTCCAATTGTTTCCAACACCTCCCAACACCACCTGTTGCTGTCATTTTCAATATGCCAAACAAAAATGTTGACTATGTAAAAGTAATGAGATTTACATGAAAATAATCCTTGCATTTGATATAACACCTTATTGCGTTGTTGAGACATCTCAAAGTGTTTTACAGGAGTTTACTGTGAAATGTAGACAAAGTGGCAGCCAATTTGCACACAGTGACGTCTCACAAACAACCATGAAGTGAATGACCAATTTTATCTGGGGGATTGTTGGCCAGGACACCAGAAGAAACTCCATTCTCTTTTCAAACTCCATTCTCTTTTTAAATGGTCTGGGTTTCAAATGGTGCACTATATTTAACAAAGGCCATGAGTCCAAGCTCCTGATGGTTGTTTTTATTAAATGCAAGTTGGTTGCTGGATTGAAGATTATGTTCTCAACCAGTTTAACAACATTCTCTTCTTAACTTGGACACAACCCAGAATGAACCATCTACAGAGTAATAATCTTTGCATTTGTTATAGCGCAATATCGTGTTGTCAAGGTGTCTAAACGCGATTCACAGGATATGCTGTAAAAGTGATGTGACTGTGTATATTTGTGGGTGAAACGTAACAGTCAATTTTCCCAGAGCAATGTCCCCAAACAGCAGTGAAGTGAGTCACCGATTTTATTTGGGGTATTGTTGGGCAGGACATGACGTTCTGACAGGACTGTTTCATGTCCCAGAATAAGTATTATCTCCAAATGAGAGAAAATGAGTGGAGGTGGTGGGAAGATAGTATCTTAAGTGCTTTAACCATTTATGAACTCTATCAAGTGTTCACAACACTTGCCGAATATTTTGTGTGCTCTCCACACTCTCACCTCTAACTTGTTAAGAAATCATATAAAGACAGCTTCCAAGGAATGATTAATCATTTGCAACCAGCGCGTTATAACAGGGAACCTGAAACTGGGTTCCCATCACTTGCTGCCATGTCACCCTCCCACCCAGTTGCTGATCACTCAACTCTCCCTCCTCTTGCCACTGCTGGCAGACACCATAAATCAGTCCATCTAAGACTCAGTGCCACTCCCCCTCAAAACAGCTGTCATCACTCCCCTCCTTAAAAAATTAACTCTCGATCCCTCCAATCTCACGCATCACTGTCCCATTGCAAACCTACCCTTCCTGGCCAAACCCCTGGAACCCGTTATTGCAAATCAACTTCGCTCATACCTTGCCCTCCACTCCTTACTCAAATCCCTCCAGTCTGGTTTCCACCAAGCCCACAGCACAGAGAGAGCAAGTTGTTGTTGTTAGGTTCATCCCTCCGAGGAGAGAATGCACATTCTTTTCCAGACAAACTGAAATTTCCATGGATATATGGAACTTTTAATAGTTTGGTTTGGATACCAGATATTAAGTGTAATGTCAGGTTTCCATATGTGTCAGACACCTGGCTATCCAAAATAAAGCTGCAGAGGGGTGGCCTGAGCTCAACTGATTTGGCAACTATAGCCAGCAACCCAATTTTCTTGTTTATTGCTGGTTCACACTGTTTGGAACAAAAAAACTATTTCCATCATTTGGGTAAATGCCAATTAAGTGAAAAGAAAAAAAGTGGGTTGAAAATAGTTGATTAATTTAAGAAGGGCAGAAATCATACCATCTTTAGCGAGGATATTAGAGGGTGAAATAAAGATTTTGGAGGAGGAAACTAAAACTTCTAACTAACTTCTTTCTCCCTGCTTATCTGTATACCAAATGAATGCGTCAGGCACCTTTTCCACCTTCTGGCAACCTGTGCGTCAATTCCATAAATTTAAATTACATTTGGGTTTCATTGCCAGAATTCACTTTCATCAACAGAATTGAATTTGCAGCAGCATTTTAATACTGTGATGTAGCAACCACGTACATGTATCACATTAAAAAAACTATTGTTCTAGAAACTGAGCACCCCTTCACTGATGCCCTAATAGGAATTCACTGATTTAAGGGGAGGTGTAACATCAGATTCACTGGTAATAATTGAGCTCACTCATTTGGCAACTAATGAAAGAAATTGTCTTTGCAAAAGTGTGACTGGGGCCATCAATGAACATGCTGTGTAAGTCAGCACTCTGCAGGAGGACTTCACACAAAGTTACAAAATCATGTTACTGATTGATTATGTTCATTCTACTAATAGATCAAATTACAACTAAATTCATTCACTAAAAATTACCAAATTTGTGTACTGCATATTTAAATAGTACGGAATTTTGGAAAATTCTTCAATTCAGTTTTGAATCTGACTTTCTGCAGGTCTTTCCAAGAGTTTCCAAATTACAATAATCTTGTGTTTGATACAGCACCTTATCATGTTGTCGGGACGCCTCAAAGTCCTTCACAGGATATACTGTAAAATGGTGTATGTTATGGGCGAAAGTGGCATCCAATTGTGCACAGCAGTGTCCCACTAACAGCCATGAAGTGAGTGACCAATTTTATTTATTTATTTTTGGGAAAGATTATTACCCCCGGTAAGCAATCCATCAATCGACTAACAAACGGTTTACTACCTACTGCTAGGTAAACAGAGGCGTGTGGAGTTAGGAAACTTGCCCAAGGTTTCGCGCCAGCCAGGAATCGAACACGGGTCCTCTCGCTCGCAAAGCAAGTGCGCTAGCCACTACACTATGGGACTTTCTATTTATTCAGAAATAAACCGATAACTGTGTTCTGAATAATTCCATTTCAAATTAGAAGCAATTATTATTAATGCCATTTTTACAAACAAAATTGATATCTTCTAAGTCAGAACCTTTTTTTAAAAGAAATAGTCAAAAAGGTCTTGGAAGAGAGATTCAGAGGACAGGGGAATATTATCAGAAGCTTTGTGAAAAAGAATCTCAGTTGCAAATTTCTGGAGTAGTCGAAGATTCTGCAGAGTGTAGCTTTGGAGGCCAGAAAAGATGGCAATGGAAGAATGTGTCCTTGAGGTAATGAAAGCATGGATAAGCATTTCAGCAGTAGTGGCTGGTGAGGGAAGTCTAATCAGGCAATATTCCAGAGGTAGATGATGGGACTAATAATGTGGGATTTGGAATCTAAAACAGTTGAGGGTCAAGGAGAACACCTAGTTTATACATGGTGGCTGTATTCAGTATTAGGACTTTTGATTTATTTATCTTTCACTTTTTAAAAATATGAAATAATCACCAATAATAATGAAATGATAAAACAGCAGGGCAATACATGGAAAGTTTCCATGATGCAGCTATATTCCGGAAGTCACATCAGCCTACTTAAGTTTAGTGCCACAGACTGAAAACAAAGCTGTGATCCAGTAAGTGTCCTGGAGAGACAAGGTGAGAAGAACGGAGATATGGGAGACGAGATTCGGTGCTGACTGTGAACTTGACGAAGTTCTGCATGTTTAATGTAGGTTTAATTATTTCTGATTTAATAGAATCTGTAAGATTTGTAAGATCTGTAAGATTTAAAACTTGGTCTTCTTGTATTTTGGTTTTGCAAGATCTATGAAAGAGAGAGAAAGAAACAGAGAAGATTCAAATATGATAATGGCATAGTCATACACAGATGAGTTTCAGGTCTCTTCGCTATCAGTCCTGTAGCTCAGTGGTTAGAGCACTCGCTTTGCAAGTGAGAGACCTGAGTTCAATTCCAGGCAGAGGGCGAAGCGTTGGGCAAGTTTCCTTACTCCACACACCTAACAATAATCCCTCCAAAACCAAAAACAATAATAAATTGGTCATTTTCAATCTACGACTGTTTGTGGGACATTGCTGTGCGCAATTGGCTGCCGCGTTCGCCCACAAATATACAGTCAATTCACTTTATAGTGTGTTCTGTGAAGCGCTTTGGGACGTCCTCCCGACGTGAAAAGTGCTATATCAAATGCAAGGATTATTATTATTATTATCATGTTGCCGTACATGAGGAAGCCATTAGCAATTTTGTCAGATTATTGAAAGAAAATTGGTTGACTATTGTTAGCCTAATGAATGAAACTAGTGCCGTGATAATTGTATCCAAACTGCCCAGGGACAATCACTTTCAAAATATAAGTTAGCAATATTCCCCAGATGTCCAAACGTTTAGGGACATGGTTTTGATTTAAATAATGTTGTTTATATAAAAGGCAAATGATGAGAGTCTGGTAAATAAACAAAGTCTCCTGGAAGACGGAGGAAGAGAAGAGTAAAAGCTTTCCTTACCGACGGCATCTCTATTACCAAGGTAACACATCACTGCTGCTGGGATACGAATAAACACCTCACAGCTACCTGTGCTCACAGGGGTATGAAATCAATTGGTATGAAATCAAACGCTCAGGGTGTGAACTTGCATTCTTGATATAATGTGGGCCTGTAATCAACTGTAACCAAGATACAGTAGTTTAGCCCCAATATACTTTCATGACACAGAGTAAAAAGCAGCCTCAATCTCTGTTGAAGAGTATATAAAAGTCTCAAGTGCTAAACGGGGGCGGGGGGGTAGTCAAAACATCTCAATGATCTATTAATATAATTCAAATGAAAAAAAATAGCAAAAGCAACGCATCACGACTTTAATTTTAACATTGTGGTACTTGACACCCACTCGATAATGTTTGTATACACACTCGAGGTCTCCAGCCAATATCTGAAAACAACTCTGATAACAGACGTGTTCAGGTTCTCCAAAGAAACCCAACAGCAAACTGTTGTGTATATAGTACCCGATAACACGATTCGTGAAGGTTATAGTTTCCAAAACAAGACGAGGCCTCGCTCGGCCTGTGCTGGACTGGTGAGTAACAGGAGTGTAAACACACGACGCCGCGTACACACACACACACACACACACAAAACATAAACATTGGTTTGCGTAACACGTGAACTGAACAGCCCAGAAACGCGGCTCAACGGAAAATATAGCCCCGCACGCTCTGCCCTGAAACAACATGCCCACCAGCAACCAACCTAGTATGTCAATTCCTTACCCATCTTTTCTTTTGGCTTTATAAACATGCCCGTAGGTTCCCCGACCCACTTTGCAGCCTTCATATTCAAACAGATCTTCTACTTTCTCTCGTTCCGCGGCTAGTTTGGTTTTGAAATCGTAATCCATTGTCACTCCATAAATACATAAATAATAAACAAAACAAAGTTTCAATTAATTTAGTTTAAGCGCTACCCATTTCCTCATTTCGTGCTTTGGTTTCTCCCAACAAGTTCATACGGCGACATTTACCGTACGCGAGCTGTGGCGACGTTTGGCGGCAAGGCAATGGCGGCCGCCCGCGAGGCACGCCGGGACCTGTAGTTTCTGACGCTCTCCCCGCTCGGGCTGCCTGAGGCGTCGGCCCCGGGACAGAGACTACACTTCCCATCGGGCACCGCGGCGGACGGTCCATCCGTCTCGGTTGTCGAACCTCGGGTCCGTTTATTATTGTAAGTGGAGCAGCCGCCGCTTACATCTGCTTTATCGGTGCTGTATTTATTCAGGTTCAAAACTGACAATAAAACATTTGATTGGTGATAACGATACAACGATCATTAATATTCCCATTTCTCAATTCCCCCCCAAAAAAACCCCGCTGCTCATCCAGCAAAAGTTGCCGCCTCTCTCCCTTGTGGCGGGCGGGAAGGGAGAGAGAGCCAGAAACAGCGATTAGTTCCATTCCTCGTTCGTTCACCTCACGCCCCCATTTTCACACAATATATACTATAAAAATCTCGAAACCATGACGTTCCCCAGACTATTATGTGTATAATAAATGATAAGAATAATTATTATTTAATAGTTATCCCTCTTCTGCAGGAAATTCTAATTTGTGGTTCGAAACACATTTTACCGGTGACCGTTTATTTCCCTCCAACGTCTCTCTGTCTCCCGCCTCCCCCGTTTCCAGAAATTTAAATATGTTTGTAGCCCAAAGTCAGCCAAACACTAGCCCCAAAAGTAGCCCAATATTGCGTGTTGTCTCCTTCCTATGGGTAGAAGGGGGGCAATTTGGGTTAGTGCTCTTGAAACCATGTAAGAGAGGCGGGGGGGGAGGGGAAGGTATTTGAAGAGGAGACGTTTGACAGGTTTAACTTAAAAAATATTAAAAATTAGGCGCCCGCCCGCCCGGAGCCGTTTTTTTTTAAACCCCCCCCTCCACCCCATGACAACCAAAACCCGCCCAAAACCGGTCACGTGGTCCCAGCCCTCTTCCCGACGGCGCGAGCGCCTCGCCTTCCGTCACGTGACGATTGTGACGCGGCGCGGCTAAGGGGGAGGAGGAAGGAGAGGAGGGGAGGGGGGGCGAGGTTATATAAAGGAGTGTCGGCGGCCGGCCGGGCGCTGTTCACAGTATGGCCGGCGATATTAGCTAGCGGTCGCTCAACAAATTCTCTGTCAAAAGGGATCGGCGAAATTTAAAAAAAACAGGAAACAAAAAAAAATATATAGAAGCTGAATCTCGTGACACCCAGTAACAGAGAAATTGAAACTAACTTATTATAATTAAGCTTTTACGAAAAAAAAAGAAACAAAGTGACTTGTGTGTTTTTTTTTTTCATTTTGCGCGATTTTGTTTCACGATGGAAAACGGTGCACACTTTTTCGAAGGTACCGAGAAGCTGCTGGAGGTGTGGTTTTCTCGGCAGGATCTGTGCAAGGGATCGGGAGACCTCCGGACCATTCCAAGGTAAAAAAAAAAACACCACACGCACATGCAAACCAGCAACAAAAATGGAAATTATAATAATAATGATAATAATAATAATAAACGACGACGATGATGATGATGATGGACTGCGCGATGGGTTTCTTCTTTCTTCTTGCGTTCACGTGTCCCGGTCCTGGAGGAGGGAGGGAGGGAGGGAGGGGAAGGGAGGGAGAGAGGTCTGTTCCCAGGCGAGGTCATTGAAACGAAAATGCGCCACCACGATGTGTGTGTGTGTGTGAGAGAGAGGGAGAGAGGGGGAGAGGTACAGGGCCGGAGCAGCAGCTCGTGTGGGCTTTCGACACACACCGGTTGTCATTTGAGGGGTTTATTTTTAGTCGTCAAGGTCTTACACCTTATGTGGCACAAATCGATGTTGTCGGACGCTTCTCTTTCTTCACCCCTCTCTCCTCTCCCCCCCCCCCAAAAAAAACACACACACACACACACACACCAACCAGTCGGTGTGATCTGAGAGCCGACCGTGGCAGCGTGTGTTCGGGCCGTGCGGCGGCTCCACTCCACTCCCACTCCCACTCCCGACATTTGAGGCTGTAACGCTGTCGGTCGGTGGGTCGGTTCGGGGGGGGTGGGGGGAGAGGGGGGAGTGAGATATCTTACTGACCTCCCCCGTCACTGGCCATTACTGCCCCCCCAAAAGTGTGTGTGGTGGGGGGGGGTGTCTTCTGGTCAGTCTTTCCTTTCGTACCCCTTAAAATGGGGGAGAGAGGGGCTGAGCACATCTGACAAACCAGTAACACGCCTTTTTCAAAGCAACAGGTCAACATGTGGGTGAGGCTGTAGGGACGTGACTCCCCCCCCACCCCCCACCCGCCCTGACCGAAGCTGAGAAGGACGAGGATCCCCCCCTCCCCCCCCCCCACACACACACCCCCCACACACACACACTTCCACGTTTCAGAAATGTTGGAATATCTTTTGGGGATTTTATTAATAAAAAAAAACCCGGAAACTCCCGTCTCCTCGACCCCCCCCCCCCCTCCCCCCTCTCCCTCCCTCCCTCCCCGGACACGAGGCGCGACAAAAACTGTAGTAATGGACGCGCACTGAAAGTCGGCGGCGGTGAAGTCGTGCGAAAAGGGGTTTTTTTTTAAAAAAAATAAAACAAAATTCGCTCAAACCCGTCAAACCGGGTTTTAGTTGGAAAAAGGGGGGCGCACGGATTCGAGCCCTTTCTATAGGCCTCAACGCTGGTGCTCTTGACAGGGTAACCAGGTGATGTTACATGTTTTTTTTGTTGCACACACACACACACATCATCTCCAGGAAATATAAATGGATCCAGTATTTGTTTTGAGGGGGTGGAGGGGGCCAGTTTTGGGCAACCTTTTTCACTGAAAAGGTGCATTTTTTTTTGGGTGACTTAAGTTAAAAGAAATGGTTCGATCACTCCCTGGTTGTTTGTAGGATGTTGCTGTGTGCAACTGGTTTCACCCACAAAATGCTGTCAATCCACTTCGCAGTATAATCCTGCGAAGCACTTTGCAACGTCTCAGTGATGTGAGGCGCTGTGTCAAATGCAAGGATAATGATACTATTAAATTAAGTATTAAAATGTAGGTGATCTTTTAAATATATTTGTCTTTAACCACAACCATGTTGTCCAATATTCTCTCTGCGGTTCCTGAATGAAATGGGTAATGGTTAAAAATGGTTTAAAGTCTACTTTGCTTTGCGCAGTGCTAACTCGGGGTTAACTGGGCCTGTCCTTGCCTCCTTTTGGCGGGCTCCTCACGTGTTCGGGGCTTAAACTGCTGCTTTATTTGTGTTTAGAGATGTGACATATCTTGTAGGGTTTCCAGCCCCGATCTGCCCCCAACAGGGTGTAAATGTCCCCATTGTGTCTTGGGAAGTGAAATTGTCTTCATTCTGCTCCTTGGTTGTTGATATTAAAACAATATTCCAATATGCATGTATGGAAATTCTAATTTGCACTATATAAGTGCAGTACATGTATGGAAATTATTGGGCGTGTTCACTTGCAAGGTTTGTTCGTGTGCGAAGAGAACATGTACATGCCCCGACTTGAGCACTGCGAGTCTTGGATATGAACCCGCTCCTGCTCGACTCTCACTTCCCTCACCCCCATCCCCTGATCAGATTTCTCACTCGTCTTCCCCCGCCCTCGCCATGCAGATCCAGTTCATTCCAGTCTCAGTTTATTTTTTAAAAAGGCAGCGTCACCGTGCGAGAGGCCGGCCAGGCAGTGTGCCCAGTGAGCTGTCAATCAGTCTAATACTACTGCATTGCTCACCTCATTGCAGTCCTACCACAGATACGCTGCCCTCTAGGCTCCACTAATACTCCCTCCAGCATGCTGTGAAATGTTCTCACAAATTGCTTGCTTCCTAGGGTAACTTTCTATCTGTGTGTTCTGGTAATTTAATAACCGTTTCAGTTATACTTGCCAATGCACTCAATGCAGGCAGCTCTTTAGGAAAGCGAAGCGATTGCTTGCACGTATGGCAGCGCTCATAGTGGCGTCCCAATGCTTCTTAATTGCCAATTGGAGGTAAAACATATGACTTGCAAGAAGGCATTTGAAGTTTTTGCCCTTTTTAGGTAATTTGAGGTATCGCATGGTAAAGCATAAAATGAACAAGAAAATGCCTGGGCCCTAATTATTTTGCTAAATGAACAGGTGGCTGTGGAATCCAAAAGCATATTGGTTTGACTAAATTTAAACCACTTGATCAAGGCTTAAGAGTGCTGGGCTTCCAATGAAGTAGTGAGATCTAGTGCAACACCAACAGATTCTAAATACACTATTTATTCACTTCAGTTTTGTTTAGTATTCAAAAATACATTACAGCTGGCTACTTGGTTTAAATTATTTAACCATATCCATTTAACCATATCATACAAAGAATATATATTTTTAAAATAAAATCCTTGCATTTGATATAGCACCTCCACATTTAAAAGCACTGCATACTAGTTGCTGTAAAGTTTGACAGTATTTGTAGTCACAGGCATACACGGCAGCCAATTTCCATACAGTGTCTCAAAAAATAGCCATGAAGTGTGTGACCATTCAGTGTGTGGTCATTCACTTCAACAGCACCACCAACAACTCGCATTTATATTACGCCGGGCAACGTCCCAGACCTATCGGGATACATCCTTGTCACCAATTTGCATTTAGTTTCTTTCTCCAATTTGGTGAGGCAAATCTTGAATCAAAAAGAAGGGCATTGCCTCCAAATTTGATCTGAAACCACAGACTTTGTGAAGGAGATCAGACAGAATGAATTGAGGGTTTATGCCTGACTAATATTTTCTTAAAACGTGATTGCTAATTCAGTTTGTTAATACTGTAGTTCTTTGTAAAGAGTTTATTCTATTAAAACAGTTCTGTTTTGCAATCTGTTTGGTTGTACCATTCATTGTACAATACATGTTTTCTGCACGTAAGGTATAGCACTGTGCAGTACTGTATATGGAAAGAATGGGCTGCCATAGCTTTAATACGCATGGGTTAAACAAGGTACAGAAAACTTGCCTTAATATCATTTGTTATGCGTAAGTCATATAAAATCCGGCTTATACATAACTTTACATAACTCATATATGGTACAAGTTTCACAGAACTCATACTTTGCATAAGTTATATAAAATGTATGGTCCCAACTGATACGACTTGTGTGAGGTTTACTATAATGAGAAATCTTGTCATGTTTCCCCCATCCTGGGACATTGATATTCCAGTGTTAAAGTTCAGTTTATACGTAGAGGATTAATGTTGATTTGCTTTAAGTTATCCGCTTGTCAAATACAGTCCAGTTTTCCTCCTTAAAATAAATGGAAATTAGTCTGTTAATGGTGTAGTGTAAAGCAGTTCCTCCTTATCTTCAGTAATTCCATTCTTCTGATGTAGTATGAATGTCCTCTCTAATGCTTGCCATAATTTATTGCATCCATAGAAAGGGTTGTTATAAGGCTGCCAAAACACTACAGTTTATTTAGATTTCCTTTTAAACTTGCCTTTTAAGGTCTGAATAATTTAGATTGCTGGAACTGGTATTTGCACTATAACATTCACAAGCTATTTGAATTGAAGTCCAGTGTGATAAAAGTCAAAGTATAAGAACCACTAGAATTGTGTATAATTGAAAACTAGAACAATATGTCTAAGAAGGGGTTTAGGAGGAACAACTTAATGCAGAGGGTGGTGAGAATGTGGAACTTGCTGTTGGAGGCTGAGGTTGAAGCAAATACCATCGATATATTCAGTGAACAAGCTTGTGCACAATTTACCAAGATTTAAAACTAGGCAATGGAATGGAGAACTAAACTCTAATTTTTTTGTAGTTCTGCTTTTCAGCCTTCTGCTTCTCAATGTGTTCATTGAGACCAAAGCATTTGTGATTAATCAATGTGCCAAATATATATATATATATTGTACTTGGGCCACTGCATTTAGCTTTCGTGTATGCCCACCACACCATATCCCACTCCCTCCTCCCAAAAGGTCTTTATGCCAAAATTGGAAGAAGGAAGTGTTAACTTTCTGGAAAAAAATTCATTCATAATTTGCTATCCAATAACCACTGATGTCAAACGTGTAATATGTACATCATAACTTTTAAATCAACCCATGTCGGGACTTGGAATCACATAGTCTAAGGTGACACTCAAATACAGTGCTGGGGGCTGTGATTCATTGTCAGACGTGCCATCCTTCGGATGAGATGTTAAACTAAGGTGGACTTTAAAGATTCCAAAGCACTATTCGAAAAGAGAAAGAAGAATTTATCCAAGTGTCCTGACCAAAAACCCTCCAAATAAACTTGGTCACTCGCTCCATGGCTATTTGTAGGACATTACGGTGCACAACTAGCTGCCGCGTTTCGCCCACTAAACAATCAATCCAATATTTACATTGTATCCTGTGAAGCTTTGAAATGTCAACGATATGATAAGGAATTATTTCAAAGGCAAGGATTATTATTATGACATTTGTTTCCAAAACTATAACATCAAAATGTTACTTCGCATATAATTGCTGTCAAGTGATTGAATTTGTTGAGAAAAGAGGTGGCAGTCAATTTGCTCAGCAAAAACAAACCATGAAGTAAATAACGCATTTAGCCAGAAAATTGTAGCCAGAACTCTGGGAAAATACGCCCTTCTCTTTTCAAGTAAAGTCACGGCATCTTTAATGTCCACTTGAAGCTAAGTAGATTGGACTTTGGTTTAACAACTTATCCAAAGAACAGCGCCTTCAATAATGTACTACTGCAGTAAAGTAGTGGAAGCTCAATTCCAATATGAGACTTGAACACACAACCTTTTAACACAGAGGTATGAGTGTTACTAACTGAGCAGAGACACTATATCAAAAACACAGTACAACCATAGGGAGTTAGTGCATTGTATAATTTTTTATAAGCCAATCCCTTATATTGTTCTAATGAATTGTTTCTAATGAATCAATTGTTCTAATGAAAGTTATAAAAAGAATAAATTATGACAATCTGTGGGATAGAATTTATTTCTCTTTCATGTTAACCATAATTTTTTTGTGAGATTAGGTTAGCTCAGTTATATATTTCAGTCTGTTTTATATAACACTAGCTCCAATAGCTAAGTAAGCAACTGATTGGGCTTCTTAAAGCTGACAAAGCATGGCCTTTTGGTGAAGGTTTTTGTGTAGAAAAATGGCTTCTTTGGTGGGAAATGAATTTTAAGATATCCTTTGGTAATCCTGAGTTCATTGTGCACCTCATTCTATGGTGTGCGGTAGATGTTCTTGATTTGAAGAATGCAATACAATTTGCATTTATATGATGCCTTTCAACAATAGCAACAACTCGCATTTCTATAACTCCTTTCACACAGTGTTGTGTTTCGGAGCACTTAGCAGTGATGCAACCTGAAACTGAGGCGTGGGGAGGGAGAGGTGATCATAAGCATGGTCGAAGAGGAAGGTCTTAAAGTCTCTGTGCTGTGGGCAGGGCAGAACCCAGACTGGAAGGGCTGGAGTAAGGATTGGAGAGAGAGATGTGGAGTCCTATAGCTCAGTGGTTAGAGCACTCGCTTTGCAAGCGAGAGACCTGAGTTCAATTCCAGGCAGGGCGAAACCTTGGGCAAGTTTCCTAACTCCACACGCCTAATAATAATCCCTCCAAAAACAATAATAAAATTGGTCATTTTCAATCTACGACTGTTTGTGGGACATTGCTGTGCGCAATTGGCTGCCGCGTTCGCCCACAAATATACAGTCAATTCACTTTACAGTGTGTTCTGTGAAGCGCTTTGGGACATCCTCTCGACGTGAAAAGCGCTATATCAAATGCAAGGATTATTATGTGAGAGAAGTTGATTTGCAGCAATGCATTCCAGAACTTTGGCAGGGGAAAGCAAGCAGGAAATTGGCCAGCAGCTTATCAATTAGAGGGATCAAGGGTGGGGTTTTTGAAGGGTGGATGGGATGGAGCCTGGTTGGTGCGGAGGAAGCTTTTTCCAAGGGAGTGCCTGGAGGAAGGGAGGGGATATGAGAAGAGAAGGAGTGGTCTGTGATGGACAGATCAGGGATGTCAAGGCTTGGTGTACCTTTCACATCAGGAGGACATCTCGTATCTTTTAATACTGCTGATGGGGATGGGGAAAGGAAAAATGAAAATGTGGTCAAAAGGGTAGGTCTTGAGATAAATCTTGAAAGAAGGAGGCGAGGGAGTGCAGGATGGAGTTTGAGAGAGCGGGGGCAAAATGGCTGAAAACCTGCCGATGGTGGGTGGATAGGGTAAGGGACATGAAGCAAGCGGGTGTTTTCTGAGAGAAAGGATTGGACAATTCGGTAGAGTTGAAGGAGGTGGAGGGATTTAAAGGTGAGAAAGAGGATCTTGAATTTGAATTTGAATTTGGTGGGTGGGGAACCAATGAAGCTAGCTGATCAAGCATTGAAATTATAAGCTTGTAGATCCTGGTGCGGGAGAGCACACAGGCTGCAGAGTTCTGGATTGTCTGCAGCTTGTGTCGGGCAGAGCGATAGCTTAGTCAAGCTGAATGATAGCCATGTAGGTCCTCCATTTTGATAACTGTTTCACCTGGTCCAGAAATTGCTGGTGTAAGTCCTCTTGTACTTTCCTCGTTGGTGTTCTAATATGTGAGACTTTCACAATTTAGCTTGATCATGCTCTTGTCCAATATTGATAAAATATGCTTCCAATAGGAGAGTACTGGAATGTAGTGCTTTTGCCACAATCTCCCTTTTTCGTTTGCTCCACCACAGCCACATTGTCCTCAAAATATGGTTGTTTGAGGCACAGCTGCTTTTCTGGTTCACATTCAGCTAAGTCAGTGTAGACCACTGACTCCTGCTGAAGCATCACCACAGCATTTATCCACTGAGCTATCAGGGAGCCTTGCACTTCAGTAAGTATAACTGAAATTGGAATTGTAGGTCAAGTCTCTACTTTACAAATGCAGCTTGGCAAGCATTAACACTGCAAATAGGATAAACAGGTCTGGGAAGTTCCACTCACCAGCTTTTCGAGGTCACTTTCTCATTGTGACCTGTTTAAATATACCTGACTTATTTCTGGGGAAGATATAGTCATGTGTTGGATTCCTACAATTGCTGAATTTTCAGATCCTTAAACATTTTCACTAACTGACCAAATGCATTCATGTAAATGCAACAAAGAGCATTCATAGTTTAGCATTTGTATGTAAGTCAACGTGTCTCAAAAGCTCTTCATAATACCAGCATGTTTAGGACTGAGACAGCTACTTTGCATGTAGCAAAGAACCCTGAGGTATTCTTTTAAGAAGTCTAAAGAAATGTCTGTGTTTGTGGCCTGTTGCTTGACATTTTCCTAATGAAGGATGATTTTTAAGAAAAGGGGAAAAGAGCTATTATGCCAAGTAGTTTACATTTTGAAGGAGCACTAATTATCCAACTCCAGGTTAGAATCTGCCTTGAAGTTTGTATCAATTTACTCCAGTTTGACAGTCATTCTAAATGAAGCCTATGCTATTAAAACAATTGCTAAATGTGTGCAATTTAAGCTAAGATCAATGCTTATAGAAAATTTCCACACAAGGGGGCTAAATCAGGGCCCATTGACTGTCAAACTAATATTGGGTCTTGATTTGAACGGTTATCAAGCTGAAGTAAATTGATATAAATGTATTCAAAGATAGATTCTAACCCGAGGCTAGATATAGTGTCGGTTTGTGAAATTTACTGTCCCTTCAAAATATTAAATATTTGGGCATAGTAACTGTTCTCCCTTCACAAACACTGCTACTAATATACTAGTTTTTCTCTCCAAAAGAAGACCTATCAACCTGTTTAAACTGTTACCATATACCAGTACTGTGGTGTGATCAATAACAATGAGATACAGTGTTTGGGGAGTCGGGCATTGATCCTGAGACTGTGCTGCCACCAAACTAATTAACATTGTATATTGTTAGCTAAAGACAAACTGATTTTTAGAATATGTAGGTGACTTTAAGATTAATCGGATTAATCGGATATCAGTTGATATAGTTCTTTGATCACAAATGCTATAGTATTCAATGTGTTTTGGATGCTTATTTCTTTTGTAGAATGAGGCTTCAGATATCAGAATGACTTTCAAGGACTTGTGGTTTCTTTTTATAGGTTTGAGTGGGACAAACTATTGGAAAATGTGCATTGTTTGATCATAAGTGTGACAAAGACAGACTGGCAGGAAGCCTATATACTCAGGTAAGTAAATCTTTGATTGTTTTTTTTTCTGTATTAGCCAATTAGAATGTGCTATTATTGATCAACAAGCGCATTTTTGTGAGGATAGAACCAGTAGGTGAGGAAAGGAGTAGAGATTCAAAAGTTCAAAAGGCTTAAAGACAACTAGATCACTATAATTGAGTGTTATTTTACTTGCCATATCAATTCAGGCTTAAGCAGGGCTTAATCAGTTTATATGGCTCTCAAACGGTGTGGTTGGAGGGGAGTGGATCAAAATGTTTTAGAAACACATTTATTGCCTTTACAAAAGGCCCACATCCAAATCTGGGATATTTATAGTGTTGACTGACCTATTTAAACAATTCTTACAATTAAGCATGTTAAAGTGCAATGCTACCTGACATAGAGCAATCTGAACAGTGGAAGCATAACTGTTATCGTTTAGTGCATTATAATGGTTTTAATTAGAATAGTATTTGATCAAAATTATTAGGGCAATGTAGTTAGGGAAAATATAAGATATAATTACTTTTTAAAACCCTGTAGAGCAAAGGAGGCACCTATCATGCTATTATAGGGCAACAACAACTTGAATTTATATAGTGCTCTTTGTGTAGAATAATGAGTCATAGCACTGATAGTGCCTCAGCGCGAGTGAAATGCCTTCAAAGGAGAAAAATGGTTTACTTGCTGAAATATAATTACAAAACAATAAGCAGCTGATTCTTTGATTCATCTAATTTAGTGTTCGCTACTTTCAGTGAGATGTTAAAGATAATGGAGCAGGGTATTAGTGCCATTATTGAAGTCAGTGATCTGGATCTAGAAATCTTCCAAAATTTGAAAAGACGAAGGTCAGGGAAGGAAAATCTCTAGGGAGTTAGTTCTGGTCAAAATATTCCAGATACCCTGGAGATTATTGAAGCGAGCACTCTGTTCAAGGTAATCCCCAGCATTGAAAGAAAAAGCATGTCACACAGCACCTCTATTCAAGTTTAAAAGACATAATAACAGGTACAAGTGCTTTAGACTGCACTTGTCCTATACTCGACTATATGTATTTTAGGTATTATTGGTTCTCATCACCACTGTCCTTTACAAGCTTTAGATTGCTTGCAATACTTTTGAACCACACATTTCTCTAGGCTTTTATTCTGCCTTTGAAAACCCCTTATTGCACTATGGTTTCTTTTAAGTTTTGGGAATATTTTTCCATATTCACTTCTTGTACCAATTCCAACCAAAGGAGTTTGTGGCTTCTATGCCTCCGCTGCGAATAATAATAATCCTTGCATTTGATATAGCACCTTATCATGTTGTTGAGACGTTTCACAGTGCTTCACAGAATGTATTGTAAAGTGGAGTCACTGTGTTTTGTGAGTGAAACACGACTGCCAATTGTGCACATCAGTGTCCTACAAAGTGGTGAATTGAGTAACCGTTTTTTTAATGGAGGGATTGTTACCCCTGGAAAGCGATCCACCAAATCGACTATTAACCGGGTTCCTACTTACTACTAGGTAAACAGAGGCGTGTGGAGTAAGAAAACTTGCCTAAGGTTTCGCCATGCTGGGAATCAAATCTAGGTCCCTTTGCTTGCGAGGCGAGTGCGCTAACCACTACGCTACAGGAATCCAGATAATATATTATATATAATATATTACTGCTTTTCCCCAGGGCAAAATAATTGTATCAGGTGGGACTTTCTAAACAAAAGGAACAGGATGAATAAATATGTTTTTCAGTTCAGTTTGGGGGACTTGTGGAGAAGTAGTACCAATTTGTATACATTTACCTTTCCATTTCATTTTTGCATTACATTGAAATTATGAGCATCCTTTTAATGCATTGACTTAAAATCAGAATGAAGACAATTGAACTGCGGTCAGAAAGCATTTCTCCACATAGAGGTTGTGGAGTTTAGGACTGCACTGTTCCACAAAGCTGTAGAGACAAAACCCCTGGGTCTGAGAGGTATTGAGAGTTTTAGCAAAAGAAATTGGGATTAAGTCATGATCAATATTTTTCACATTTAAGTTAATAGAGCACAGAGCAAATGTTGGGGCAGAAGAGAGAATTCCTTTTAACCCTGGATTTTTTGTTGTATATGCAGTGAGAGTAGCATGTTTGTCTCCAAGAGACGTTTCATTTTGAAGACATGTGGTACTACCCTCTTACTGCAAGCACTGGTGCCTCTGTTGGAGCTCGCTCGTGAATACTGTGGCTTTGACTCCATTCAGGTAAGTTGAGACCACGTCCAATAGATTTGACTATTGAATCGACAAAGCCTCCAAAGTAATTTAATATACTCCATCAAAAAATTGTGATATGGTTTATTGATTGATAAGCAGAAACTAATCAAAGTATTTTGGACATCAGTAAGATTTCTCTCTCTGGGTGATTTGCATCATAAATATACAGTCTGAAAAGCATGACCAAACAATTGGCTTGCGAAACAATTCTGAAATCCCAGAACAATCTGATGATCAACTTTATATACCTCAGTGAGATTTGGGGCATTTCTTAACCCAGCAGCAGGGGAACTTCTTATCTAGCAAAGAATTTATTTTAAGTGCGAACTGAAATTGTAGATATTTCCACATTCCTTACATGGGCATAAATACATCTACAAATGTTTTGCACTTCTATTTGAAACATTTGTGAAAGTGACCAGTTGTGTCACTCGTAATACAGAACAACTCTTACCTCACTTCACAGAAAAGTGTTGTAATAGGTGCTTTCTGCACATATTGTGCAGTGGCTGTTTTTAATGTGCTTCCTTATAATGTAGAGTCTGAATTTATAGACCCGATTCACTACATTGTAACCAGTTGCCCTGTACTAGTCATTGATATCATAAACCTGATATCGCTACTGTGGTGCTGGAGATATCAGTTGGTTGCAGTAGAACTGATCTTGAGTAGTGACAAGTTTCAATAAATGTTTAAATTTGTGCCAATGTATTTGATGCTTGAATCAGAATTCAAGTTTTAAAGCAAAGAATAAAAAAAAGTAAGTCAACAAGCTGTTAATAGTTAGCTATTTGATTTAAACTAATCAGTTAGCACTGATTATTTTTCTAATGCGTCATTGCAGTGAGGTGAAATTAGATTCATAATTAGGATCACACAAATGGATAGTATAGTGTGAAGTTGCATTGGATCAGTTGTGAAAAATGGTTGTTAATAAATAACATTAAAACATCAGGCGCACACATTTTACTGACCTTAATGCAGGTTATGATTATCAAGCTTTCATTGCTGACAGTTACATCATTTCTGCTACCAGATACATCAGTGTAAGGATTATTTTGTTTTGCTAGTATAATTTTGATTGTTTAATACTAATGGACTCACAAGCACGGATTTTTAATCTGATTAATGATGTTAATCTGAATATGCTCCAAATTTTGTTCATGGAAAACTTGTGGCCACATCTGTTTTTTAATAAACCGTGCAGGATTTCTTCTATTCCCGCAAAAACTTCATCAAGCCAGTACATCAGGAATACCCACACAGGAACTTTCAGGAGGAGGTTGAATTTCTGAATGTAGTGTTTCCAAGTAAGTTTGGATCAGTGAAAATTTCCATTTGAGATGTTTAATAGAAGCTGTGTAAAATTGCAATACTGTCCTCAACGTGGTGCTGTCTAATTTTAGCATTTGAGCAATGCGGGGGTAAGATCTGTTGATCAGAGTTCTTCCTCCATCCTGTAACTTGCCTCCACTACAAAATATAAATGTTTTAATTTCTCCAACTCAAGTTTTGTGGACTTTGCCACTCTGGATACTGGACTGACATTTTCCCCAAATTCATTTAACTTTGGGCTCCATATAGCAAAAGGTTTTCTAAAACTGTTGACTCTGAGATAGTACATGTTGCAAAGGCTATACTGCACAAAGGGTGATGATATTACAAACTGGCAGTGTTTTATATAAAGAGAATGTTTTCCTTGTTGTCTGAGAACTTCAGACTGTTTTTGTCTGCACTCTAAATTTTTCTCCTTGCTTCTGAAAGCAGTGGCATATGGAGTGCCTACAGTGTTTTGGCATTGTGCCCAAATGATCCCATTACCTGCGAGTCCAGACTGTTAGTTGACTATATGTAGGGGACATGACAACTGAGCCCAGATTATGGCTTCACACAATGACTACAGGTACATTTTCCAACATTGGTCATTGGATAGATGAGAAACCATAGCTAATTCCCCATGTCCTCTCCTCGCCCACAAGTGCTGAGTCCAACTTAATCATTTTAAGGTTTACAGAAGCATCCCATGGCTGTGCTATTCACGTCATTAAGATAATATGACGGATGGAACTTTCAGCCTGGTTCTGTTGTGTTGCATGCGGGAGACAACTAGTGGACAGTAGTGACAGAAACATTTTTTTACAGACTGGCAGCCACTCCTTTTTTCAATTCAAAATTGAGGAGTAAAGAAACTTCCTTATGTTTGCCGTCTAAAATCTGAATTAAACCATTATAGAAAAATATCCCTAATTTAATATTTTATTCAATATTAGATGGGGCGGCCTATTGCATGGGACGCATTAATTCTGATTGTTGGTAAGTAACTGAATTCAAAATGTTCAATGTCCAGAATCCTCAATCTGGGATTCCATTGACTTGGAATCCTTGCAGTTGTGTATCTTACTGTTTAACAATTTAATTTAGAGGGAAAAAGAATGCAAAGTTGTCGTGACACAGCTTGGTATCAAAATGGAGTTAATGAGAGTGCCAAATGCATATACTGGAGATGTCCCTGTTTTATTCGGTACCCAGAATAGTTCCATTTGCTAATTCTGACATCAAAAGTAGCTTTTAATAGGGAATACACTTTTAGTTTGTCTCTTGTTAAGCAGTTGTTCTAAGTCAGTTAGTGGCAGTCATGTTCATCCCTGCACAAGTCAGTAAAACATCAGCCTAAGGGGATCAGCCACTGAAATGCACTGAGCTCAGATGGTTTCAGTTCAGTGTGTTATTGCTTTCTTCATTTTTAAAAGTACATTTGTAGGTTAACCTTTAGAAGTTAGTTTGTCACTAAAAAAAATTAGTCAAATGCAAGGATTATTAGTATTGTGCGTATTCATTTACATTAGTGAGTCTCAACAACTTGAGGCTTAAACTTGAGCTCTGGTTCACGGTACCTGAAATGGTACAAGGTACCATACAAACGCTCTGAGACGCTACCCTGCATGAACTGCACTATATAAATGCATGTTGTTGTTGAAATGTTAGACACTGAAACCTATTTTAGAATGTTCTTGTGAAATAGTTGATTTATGTAAGTATTGCTTATTTTATTCAGGTACCTTTACACTCTGGATATGCCAGAGGACAGTGGGATCAAACAGCCAGATCAGACACTGGAGGTCCTGATGAGTGAGCTTGACCCAGCTGTCATGGACCAGTTCTTCATGAAAGATGGTGTTACTGTAAATGATGTCACTCGAGTATGTACTGCATTAATTTTGCTTGGTTCACATATAGTGCATTTTTAGGAATACTTCCCAGAGTCTTAATGTGATTTTCCAATTTAGATGAGTGGAATTCGTGACCTGATACCAGGTTCAGTCATTGATGCTACATTGTTCGATCCTTGTGGCTATTCGATGAATGGAATGAAAATTGATGTAAGTTTTTAAACCATATTTTTAAGATTAGCTTCTTGCTTAAGTTGGTCTTTTATAGCCATGATGTTTGTTTGATTGCACAATAAGATGATTGCAGTTGCTAATGTTCCTTCAATGATGTCATAGTTTTTTTAGTAATGTTAAAAATTATGTCAGTGGTGATAGACCTGTTAAAAACATCCCATTTCTGTACATTCAGGATCTAACTAAAACTGCAGTAGAAATGCCAGATTTAAAATGTCTAGGAAGGGTTCAATTTAATGATGTTGCAGATATCCATGCAGGAGAGAGGAGAAGCACTTTGAGATGTTTTGTTGATGCAGTAATTCAAAGAGATTATTATTAAGTAGGGCTATCAAAGCCGTAGATATTTAAATTTATAAACAAATTATTACTATGTATTAAGCACCCTGTTTTTTCTTTAAGGGAACTTACTGGACAATTCACATTACTCCAGAACCAGAGTTCTCCTATGTTAGTTTTGAAACTAACCTGGCCCAAGCATCCTATGAAGATCTGATTAAAAAAATTGCAGATATCTTCAAGCCAGGGAAATTTGTTACAACCCTTTTTCTTAACCAGGTGAGAATGGATGTGAAACTACATGTGCTTTTGACTTCAGAATTTGTGGTACTTGTATTACCAGATAGTTATGCTGATTATATAATATTTCAGATTTATATTACACTTCAATTGTTAAGATATTCATTTCCTTTTCCTATGTGGATCCTGACAGTCTATACACATTTGTAGTCTAGAGTGAGGTACTCCAAAGATTCTCTGATGGATGCAACTGATTTTTACTTTCCTTTGTCCAATTGCCATTACCCCAATTTTCTTGCAGTGTTTGCACAATCATAATTTTGTGTGAGGAGCATCTGAAGATAAATATAAAAATGATTGAATGAAATATAGGAATGCATAATTTGTCAATAATGAATGATTTTTATTTTAGTTTGACCAGTGATAACTTAATTTTGAGAATTGGTTTAGTTTATAACAACAACCACCAACTTACATTTATATAGCACCTTTTGCGTCAGATGGACGTGCCAAGGTGCTGGACAGTTGAAGTTTTGCACCCAAGCTGGGGGTTGGAACTGAGGGATAGAGGGTAGGAGGGTGAGAGAATGGCTGAAGTATCCATCTATGCAGGTGTAGCTTCAAGGAGATCCTTTGTAATTGTATGCTGAATGCTTTATTTTGTTACAGAGCTCCAAATGCCGCTCATTTTCTTCTCCACAAAAAATTGAAGGATTCAAGCGCCTCGATCGCCAGTGTGCCCAGTTCAACAATTACAATTTTGTCTTCAATAGTTATGTCAAGAATTGTCAGCAACAGCAGAGTTGAATACCAAAAATGAAGAAACGCAAAAAGAAAATGTGCGAAGTGGATGGTGGCAGTACTTTAGTTAAAAGTAGCAAGGGCCAAACTTTACACTGTCACCATCTTATCCATGTTGTAGGCCCTACATGTAATCATAACAATAGAATTGTGTCCATTTCGAAATGTAAGCGTTATTGTAACAAAGAGTTGGATATCTTGCATGAATGCTCTTTTCTTTGTTTAGGTAAGCTAGGCCATTCTTGCTGTGATATTGAAGTGCATGTAGAAAAATTCAGTGCTTATTGTTTACAGTTATACAGCACTTGCAAATTTGGAATTGTGAGATATGTAGGTTTTCTATGGGTGTCGCCAAAAATTCCCCACAGACAAGGCTTTCGTGCTCACTAAATCTGAGCCCTGGCATGTTTAAAACACTTTGCTTCTTAGTTTCTTTCAGCCAAACTTCGTAAAGACTAGTTCTTCAATCGCTATCATGACTTGCAATACTTATACTAGCCATTCTGTGTTGTTTGACCAAAATGTGTGGTAGTTTTGTGTTACAGTTGGGATTCCTGTGTAATTCCATTTTTTGACCTAAAAGAGCAAGGCTGAAGCTTGGCACATTCCGTAAGAATACATTTTTGAAAGAGCTCAGATAGTTGGATGAAAAGGCTGTGGAACCTTCTGTTTTAAACATGCCAGGGATAACTCCAGAACGTTTTGTATGTCCTGCTTGTATAAATGTCCGCAGGCATTGATGGCATAAACTGTAATGGTTCCGTTTTAAAATCTTTTTTTGTTTGAGCAGCATCAAAGCTTTTGTCCAGTGACTGAAAACAATCCCATGACTGCATGGTCCATGCAACAATTCTGCTGGTGCTGTGACTAATTTGGTCATAAATTGTTTGCTACATTTATTTTGGCCTGGTGACGGTAGACATAGATAGGAAATGACCAGTCAGGAAGGCATAATCACAAATCAAAATGGAGTACATTTGTAAGTGATGGAAATTAAAATGACAACATAGTTATGGCTAATTCTTAATGAGTTTCAAGATATTAGGGCTGGTTTGTATCAGTGTGCAGTTTTTTGGGAGCTTGATGAGAAATTATTCCTGGAACATGACATGAATATACTCTTCTCTTCCTTCCCTCAAAAAGGTGAATGGTTTTCTGTTATTTTTCTCAAAACCTTTATAAGAGTGGTTTACAAACTGATTATCAAATGATTGTGGTATTTGCCACTTTTATTTTTATTGCTATTGCAGATCATATTTAAACTTCATTAGAAGTTCTGATAGTTCACTGTGGTGTTAAAAGAAACCTTGTGAGATTTATTTTGTGGACCAATCATTTTTGAAGATTTTTTTGAACGAGTATAATTTTGGGATGATTGTATGAATATCCACAAGTCTTCACATGATGAAAGTTTCAGATGACATCCAGAAATGGTCAGGCACTACTATTCTATAATAAATTCAAACAAGATTGCACTACTTTTACAAGATATAATATTTTTTGAGAGGTTATCAGCTCTTACTGTGAAACAAAAGTTCTAGTAAGTGGAAAGTGATTTTGCTGATGCTGCTTTTAGTTGAATGGGGATGAGGGGAAATTTTGGCATCAACTGTTTTTGCCAAGTATTAAAATATTTTAATCATTCAAAATCTTTTCTAAATCTATCTAATGCAAGATTGATGCTCCCAATAAAATGAGTTTGACTGAATTTTATTAATTTCATCAGGCTTGTTTAACAATCACACTTACATGCCTATTTATTGTTTATGCAGTAATGTTGTTCAAATCTTGGGATCACTCCAAATACACACCAATGTAGTGTTCAGGTTATAGAATAAGTTGTATTCTCTCCTTCATTTTGGTTCCTTGCTCTGCAATGGAATGATCAAAATGTATTTTCCATCTAGTCCACAAGGGTTCCAGTGGCTATTTTATTGACACTTTACTCCATGTAGGGATGTTTTCTCCACCGTTTGGGTTCTTCATCCTCTGCAAAATAGAATTAAATTAACCAGAAGGAGGTCATTCAACCCATTTAAAACAGACCCTTCATCTCGGTTATTAGTTAATCATTGCTGGATGCCTTAGATCCCATGACACTATTCTAAAAGAGAAGGAAGTTTCTTCTGATGTGTTGGCCAACAATCCCACAATTATTTTTTAAAAATGGTCATTCACTTCATGGCTGTTTGTGGGATATGCTGTGTGCAGTCACATTCACTCACAAAACGCACAGTAGCTCCATTTTACAGTATATCCTGTGAAGTGCTGAGATGTCCTCTTGATGTGAAATGCACTATACCAAATGTAGGGATTATTATATCCAGGTGGTGCTTCCTGGCTCTGTTCAGTTTGTTCCTGACTTGTAGAGACCTTTGTACCTTGTGTCATGTTGGAAGTTTTCAAACAGAGGTAAAGGAAGATTAAGCATTAAAGTACTGTGTGGAGGTGGCATACATATGTGGAATTCTGTTGACTTTGGATAATCATAAGCATGATGATGTGTCAAGTCTCCCAGGAAAAAGGTTCCCCAAAAAATGTAATAGTAACAACAATAAGATTGCATTTATATAGTGGCTTTCACATCAAGAGGACATCCCAGGGCACTGGATAGTTGAGGCCTTTCACCCAAGTTGGATTTGAAGGATTGGTGGGGGAAGATGACCAATGGCTAGGTCAAAGAGGAAGATCTTGAGATCGACCTTGAAGGGCTGAAGCAGAGGGACTCCAGGATAGCATTCCAAAGGTAGACCTCTGACATTGTACATGACTGGGAGAGGGAGGAGAAGTCATTTGCAGATACAAAGTGGAGATAGTTGGGATAGGTAAGAATAAAACCAGGAAAAGACAGAACCGTGAAGGTGTGCTGAGAGAAAGGTGGTGGAGAAGGATAAAATGATTGACAAGCTCAGTATCTCAATGTGGTGGCTTCAAATATCGCTACTTCTCTAAATCTTCGAAAGACCACTTGAGGTTTTGTAGGGTTTATCCTTTCTTTTGGTCAACGGCCCAAAGTATTTGTATATCAGACAGAACATGTAAGTGGGAAATGTTCTCCAAGGAGAGAACCAGCCTGACCACAATTCTGTTTTGTCATTGATGTGAAGCCCTTCTCCAAAACTGGATTCAGCGTTAACAGATGACAACAATTTCAATGACTTCAGAGGAGACGTGAAACCAAGATCCCATCTACCTCCCGGGTGGATGTTAAAGATCCCATGGCACTATTTGAAAAGAAGGTTGTGGGTTCAAGCTCACGTCAGGACTTGGAACCCATACAATCTATGCAGACATTAATGCAAGTTTCCTTACTCCACACGCCTAATAATAATCCCTCCAAAAACAACACAAAAAAAATTGGTCATTTTCAATCTACGACTGCTTGTGGAACACTGCTGTGAGCAATTGGCTGCTGCATTTTGCCCACAAATATAATCAATTCACTTTACAGCATATTCTGTGAAGTGCTTCGAGATGTCTAGAAGACGTGAAAAGCGCTAAATCAAATGCAAGGATTATTATTAAAATCCTGCAGCACTATTCAAAAAGAGAATGGAGTTTCTCCTGGTGTCTTGGCCAACAATCCACTAAATAAAATTGGTTACTCACTCCATGGCTTTGTGGGATGTTGTACAAAAATTGACTGCAGCCCACAAATTACATAAAGACATCAGTTTATAGTAAAATCCTGTGAAGTGCTTTGAGACATCTTGGTGCTATGCCAAATGCAAGGATTATTATTTTCTAATGAATATTATTAACGTAAAATACAAAGGTAATGAATGCACAATTAAAAAGTATTTGAGTTCAGCATTTATTATTTCTGGAATAAACCTGGCATAAAAATGTCTTGTGTAGCCAGACACACACTAATAGCAGGCTTATTTAAGCCTGGCAGTAATTTGTCATTAAATATACTGTAGTATGTGTGTTTAACAACATTGATCAGAAACTTGACGAACTGGAATACAGGTCAAGAAGGTCACTGGGCCTGGGGAGGGGATTTGTGTACTTCTGCTTGCAACATCCATTGCACTTCCAGCAAGGAAATCTGTACAATATGTCTCTAAACTCTGGAAATCAGCTCTGACCTGCATTTTCTTCAGAGTTGAAGTCTTGCAAGTCAGTATACAGTGTCCCTGCTGAAACCCTGTTTTGTTAAGCACTTTCTGGCAGTTACACCATTCAAGTGATTTTGTAATCCCAGTGGTTAGTGCTTACCACAGTGAAATACCCACTTTCATTCAGGAAGAATGGCCACAAAAACAAGGCTGCTGATACCTGTGGAACTACTCCCAATGTTGGTCATTTATTTTTGAGGAGAAGTTGTCGCTGTTGTCACATCCATGACTGGATCCCTAAAGCCTTCAATTAACGTTAGTCCCTTGGTGCAGTGAGCAGCCATCAAGCTGCTCCACGATCGCCTCTCCTCCACCTTCAACTCCCTCGACCCCTGAAATCCAGGATTGTCTCCAAACCTACCCGCTCCCCCTGGTACAACAGCTATCTCCGCTCCCTGAAATCCCAAACCCTGTTGCTCAAGCGCAAGTGGCAGAAAATCAGCCTCACTGTTCACCAGGTGTGGCTCGAGCATCTTCACATCATACTGGAGACCAACAATAACTCCCAAATTCTATCCTCCACCACCTCTTCCATGTGCCCCCTCAAGCACCCTTAATCATCACATCTAATGCCCAGTGTGAAGACGTCATGGACTTCCTTACCTCTAAAATAGAAAACATCCGCCTGGCAGCCTCACCCTCCTGCCCCGTGTTGCGTAGCACCCACCAGCCCCTCAGTTCCTACCACAGCGTCCATCCTACATTCCTTTGCCCACATCTTCTTCCCTCTCATCCTCCATCGCCCTGATGAAACCCACCACTTGCTGCCTCGACCCCCCTCCCCACCCAGCTGCTGATCGTCCAGCTCCCCCTCTGCCCACTGCTGGCAGACACCATTAATCAGTCCCTCTCCCCCTCAAAACCGTAGTCATCACCCCCTGTCCTTTTAAAAAAAACTATCCTTGGCACCTCCAACCTTGGGCACTACTGCTCTATCTCAAACTTGCCCTTCTTGGCCAAAGCTTCGGAACACATTGTTGCCAACCAACTTTGTGCACACCTCTCCCTCCACACCCACTCAAACCACTGCAGTCTGGTTTCTTCCCTGAACACAGTACAGAGACGGGGCTCGTGAAAGTCACAAATAATGTCCTCTCTTATCTGTGACCAGGGGTCCTTCTGTCTCCTGGACCTCTCTGTCACATTCGACACAGTTGATCACGCTATCCTCCTCCACCGCCTGTCCTCCATCATCCACCTCAGTGGGACTGCGCTCGCTTAGTTCGAGTCCTACCTTACAATAATGATACTTGCGTTTGATATAGCGCCTTTTCACGTCTCAAAGCGCTTCACAGAATATACCGTAAAGTGAATTGACTGTATATTTGTGGGTGAAACGTGGCAGCAAATTGCGCACCGCAGCGTCCCACAAACCGTCATGGATTGAGTGACCAAATTGTTATTGCTTTCTTTTCTTGAGGGTTTATCAGGCGTGTAGAGCAAGGAAGCTTGCCCAAGGTTTTACCCTGCCGGGAATCAAATCCAGGACTCTCACTTGCAAGGCTAGTGCTCTAACCACTGAGCCAGCACTAGATACAAACCCCCAGCACTAGATTTCCGCAAAATGTTTTGTCTTTTCGCCACCACCCGGTCACTGCGGGGTATCCCAAGGCACCATCCTTGGCCTCCTCTTCATCTATGTGCTCCCTCTCGGTGATGTCATCCACAGACATGGAGTTAACTTGTATGAGGATTACACTCAACTCTACTTTTCCTGCTCCAGCTGGGACCCCCAGCCCCCTGATGCTCTGTCAGCTTGTCTGACACACCAAGACCTGGATGAGCACAAATTTCTTGCAGTTAAATATCAACAAGACAGAAGCCATACTCTTTGGCTCCCGTCGACATCTTCTATCCTGCAGTTCCGACCTCCTCAACCAACCGGATCTGTCCTTAAAACCTTCTGAACCCATGCACAACTTAGGTGTCAGGTTCAATCCCCAGTTATCCTTCCTCCCTTACATCTGTTCCCTAACCAGGACCGCTTTCCTCCACCACTGCCACATTGCCCATCTCTGACAATACCTCACTCCACAAGCTGCTGAAACTATTGTCCACATCTTTGTCACTTCTCAGCTGGACTACTCTAATGCCCTCCTCGCCGGTTTCCCCTCTTCCACTATTCACAAAATTCAACTCACCTAAAACTCCACCGCTTGCATTCTCAACCACACTAAAATCCGCACCCCAATTACCCCATGTCCTTGCCAAACTCCACTGGCTCTGTGTCACTGAGCAGATCGACTTCAAGATTTTCACTCTCGTGTTTAAATCTCTCCACATCTTGGTACATCCCTATCTCTCTAACCTCCTCTCTCATCACAGCAATAACCGCTGCCTCCGCTCTACTAGCTCCAGCCTTCTCCTTGATCTTCGAATTCTCCGCTCCACCACTGGTGGCCGTACCTTCTGCCACTACCTCCCAAAGCTATGGAACTCTGTCCTTCAGTCCCTTTGCCTTGTCCCCTCTTTCCCCATTTTCAGGTTGCACCTGAAGACTTTCTTTGACAACTTTGCCTATGGTCACCTTCCCCCTCCCCCTGGTTCGGCATCGGGCTCCACCATTATAAAGCGCTCTGGGACGCCACCCGACGTGGAGGGTGCTATATAAATTCAAGTTGTTGTTGTTTCAAATCCTACATCTGGGCTCTTAATTGTTGAGTTTTATCTCTTTGCTTGCCTCCAACAACAACAAGATTACATTTGTATAGCGTCTTTCATGTTGGGAGGATGTCCCAAGGCACTGGACAGTATACAACATTTCAAACCCGAGCTGGGGTCAGGGAGGAAGAAGGGAGATGCCTGGAGGGGAAAGGGGGTGGCCGATGGGGCTATTAGAAACCATTAGCAGAGGCATTGGCTGTTTTTAGGAATCTAGACTAAATCTAGGGATTAAGTGGGAGATAGCACTTTCCCACAAGGATATACAGTAAGTGTTTTGAGATGTCTCGAAGATGTGATAAGATGTCTCGAAGATGTGATGATGCAAGGATTATTATTATTATTTTAATGTTTTTAATTAGTTTTTTTAAGTCATGGGGGGGCGATAAGATTTAGAAACTTTTTTTATGGAAACTTTTAGTTCTGAGAATAAGTATTTAGAATAATAATTAGAATAGTATTAATTAGTACTGTATTAAAAATAATATAATTATAATTTATTGCAATTTCTACCTGAAGGGCCTTTATCATAATTCCCAGCTATACGTTGTGTTTGACTGCCACCCAGTGGAAATGAAGAGTTCCTGGCATTTGCTAAGGGCTCAAACAGCACTTTTCAATGTCAAATGACCAACCTCTTTGTCGATTACTCTCTTTCTCCATCACTCTCCATCACTCTCTCCATATCAGTCTCTTTCTAAAACTTGTATCACTCTCTCAATCAATCACTCTCCATATCAATCAATTCTGTATCACTCTCTCACTATCGCACTTTATCTCTATTGATCTATCTTCCTCTCACTCTCTGTAAAGTCCTGCAGCTCAGTGGTTAGAGCACCCGCTTTGCAAGCGAAAGAACTGGGTTTGATTCCCAGCAGGTCAAAACTTTAGGCAAGTTTCCTTACTCCGCACGCCCTGTAAGTTGTTAGTCAATTGGTGGATCACTTTTCCAGGAGTAATAATTTCTACAAAAAAAATATAAATTGGTCACTTCAATCCACGACTGTTTGTGGGACACTGCTGTGCGCAATTGGCTGCTGCATTTTGCCCACAAATATAATCAATTCACTTTACAGCATATTCTGTGAAGTGCTTCGAGATGTCTAGAAGACGTGAAAAGCACTAAATCAAATGCAAGGATTATTATTAAAATCCTGCAGCACTATTCAAAAAGAGAATGGAGTTTCTCCTGGTGTCTTGGCCAACAATCCACTAAATAAAATTGGTTACTCACTCCATGGCTTTGATGGGATGTTGTACAAAAATTGACTGCAGCCCACAAATTACATAAAGACATCAGTTTATAGTAAAATCCTGTGAAGTGCTTTGAGACATCTTGGTGCTATGCCAAATGCAAGGATTATTATTTTCTCTATCACACACTCTATCTCTCTCTCCATCACACACTCTCTCTCTCTCCATCACACACTCTCTCTCTCCATCACACACTCTCTCTCTCTCCATCACACACTCTCTCTCTCTCCATCACACACTCTCTCTCTCTCCATCACACACTCTCTCTCTCTCCCTCTCAGGCCCCGCCCTCACGCAGTGAGTCAGAGGAAGTGACGTAGCGCAGTGGTTGCCGTTGGCCTCGTGTGTTGGAGCTGAGTCTCGAGTGTCGGTCTCTGTGAAGATGAAACTTCAGGACCAAGTGATGTGAGTTATGTTATTGCAGCTCCGCAGGTGGGGGTTGGGGCCGAGGGTTGGGGTCGGGCCCGGCGCCGGGGTTGGGGCCGGGGGTTGGGGCCGGGGGTCGGGGCCGGGGCCGGGGTTGGGGTTGGGGTTGAGGCCGGGCCCGGGGTTGGGCCTCGCTAAGCCGCCCGCAGCTGGAGAGAGTTCGCTCGGTTCTCGGCCGGGCCTAGTGCTACACACCGGCCTGTGCCGTCCGCGGCCAGGGGAGGCCTCGTGTGGACATATATCCCCAAAGCCTGGGGATGAGCTCGGGGTGGGGGGGGGTGTGCCCGGGGGGTGAGCCCGGGGTGGGGGGGGTGAGCTCGGGGGGTGAGCCCGGGGTGGGGGGGGGGTGAGCCCGGGGTGGGGGGGGGGTGAGCCCGGGGTGGGGGGGGTGAGCCCGGGGTGGGGGCGGGTGAGCCCGGGGTGGGGGGTTGCGGGTGAGCCCGGGGGGGGAGGGGGTGAGCCCGGGGGGGGGGAGGGGGTGAGCCCGGGGGGGGGGTTGCGGGTGAGATGGTGCCTGAGTCGGTCAGGACCATGACTGGTCTGCAGGAGGTTTCCTGCTGCTGATGCCCAGCCAGAGGCCTCTGCCCGCAGGGTGTAGGACAGTGGCTGGTTCCTCCCCTGGCCAGGCTGAATGGCCTGAAATAAACACTGCGGGGGGGAGAAGTTACATTCCTCAGATTCAACATAATCAATTTTATAATAATAATAATCCTTACATTTGATATAGCGCTTTTCGCGTCTTACAGACGTCTCAAAGCGCTTCACAGAATATACTGTAAAGTGAATTGACTGTACATTTGTGGGTGAACGCAGCAGCCAATTGCACACAGCAGTGTCCCACAAACAGTTGTGGATTGAGTGACCAAATTATTATTGTTTTTTTCCTGAGGGATTATTATCAGCTGTGTGGAGTAAGGAAACTTGCCCAAGGTTTCACTCTGCCGGGAATCAAACCCAGGTCTCTCACTCGCAAAGTGAGTGCTCTAACCACTGAGCTACAGAACTCCACAAATAGCTTCAAATGACTGAGAAAGCAATGGTGTTGCAATAATAAATAAAATAATAAATAATAAAACCACCCATGATAGCTATTGCTGTAGTACGGTATTAAGTATTGTTTTTAGTACTGGCTCAGTCGGTAGCAATCTTGCCTCCGAGTTGGAAAGTTGTGGGTTGAAGCCCATGTTGGGACTTTGAACTCTCAGTCTTGGCAGACACTTCAGTGTTGGGAGAGCGCTGCATTGTCAGAGATGACGTCCGTTGGATGAAATGTTAAACCAAGGTGTTGTCTGCCAGTTCAGGTGGATGTTAAAAGATCCCATGACCCTATTCAAAAAAAATCCTGGTATTCTATGCCACAACACGCCCACCCAATAAAATTGGTCAACCACTTCATGGTTGTTTGTGGGACATTGTTGTGTGCAAATTGACTGCAGCTATCGCCTACAAAATACACAGCGCTGAAGCGTTTTGAGACATTCTCCTCCTTTGAAGGGAACTATATTAAATGCAAAGATTAATTAGCTAAAATATATACAAAATATAAATAAAACCTTTTAAAATATCACTAATTTTCTATGTTCTTTCTTGGTTTGTAATATTCTTGTTATTGTGTCAGACATTTGTGAGTTCAAGGACTATTTTGATTTAAGAATATTGAAATATTTCAGAAGTAGTCTCTCTCATTCTCCCCCCTCTCTCCATCATTCTCTTGAACGTGTCTGACATAGCATTATTTTATGTTGTTAACTGGAGCTATGATATTTATAATTTTTATATTATTAGAAAGCCCAAATCAAGACGGGCAAAACGATTTCTTGAAAACCGAGCACCCAAACTCATTGAAAATATCAAGAATGCCATGCTCATCAAGGGAGGCAACACCAATGAAACGGTGACCCAGGCTCTGAAAGATATAGTGAGTATACACAGCATGTCATGTTTGCAATGCATACTGACTACCTGATTCATTGTTTAGTACTAGACAATCTTGTAATTGTTTTACGATTGTAAATCTTTCATTATGGTAACAAGCAGAATCATTAAAAATAGCTGGCATTAAATAAAACTGGTCCATACGTCCTATGGTAACATAGAGAAATAGAAATATACAGCACAGAAAGAAGAAGGCCATTTGGACTATTGAGTCCACACCGGCTCACAGGAGACGAGGAGAACAATTCAGTCGCACTTCCTCATCCGCTACGCTCCGAACGGCTTACACATTTACACATTTGATGTTGAACGACAGATGTATTTCAAAATGTAGAGTATTAGAATCAAAGTTTTATTACAAGGTGTAGATGATCAGCTACGCACTTGTAAAGGTTGCAGTTGGATTCTCTGACTGTTCTGCTTCCAACGATTGCTAATAACTGTTATTTCTTGTATGCTATTTTTGTCCACTACAGAACCCTGAGACCAAACTGATCTTATCCCTAATCTAGAGGTCCTCTAAAGGTCTTTGGTACCAGTTTCTTGCAGTACATTAAATTAATGAGCATTTTGATTATCCATCAATATTATCAGGAGTTCTTCATCTTTCCTTGAGTTCTCTGTTGGTCAAGAAGACCTTAGTAAATTTTACTCAATCTCTTCTATCTTTTACTAATTGGGTACTGGTACTAAATCTTACTATTTGGATACTGGTACATTCTATCTCTATGTAACACATTCCTGTGGTAACACCTTGCAAATGTGTACACGAGTACACATTACAACTGGTCAGTAATTGGCTTGGCCTTCTCTCTGTACCTTATTGTGGTAACTGTTGGAGTGCTGGCACGTCTGACACCCCCTGCCGTATCCCCATCAAACCCCTCTCTTTCATTTGCATATTGTTTATATTTTATCAGATTCATAATGTATCAATTAAAAATGGATCTGTGGGTGCAATTTCCTCCTTTTTCTCAGCCAGTCCAATACTGTTTGATTTCACTAAATTTAGTGTGACAAAATGGGCTGCTTTGAAATAGGATTTCTGTAGCTTTCAAGTTTACATGTCTTGTGCTGTCTGAACAGGTTCAGATGAATAGGTTTGTAATAACTGGTTTTTTTTGTTTATAGTATGCTCTTAAGAAGCCAAATGCAGTCCTTTATAAGAAGTAAGTATCCAAAAGTACTGTAACTGGTGCAGTTCAAGATTTCCGTTGCTGCAGTACATACTGTACATGCTAGATGGTCAAGCCTCTGAATATTGGAAAATCTCTCGTTCCAGATTTCCAACTACAGGGTATAGCAAGGCTTTGTTTATAGCATCTTTGCTTATGTCCGTCAGACAATCCAGTTCAAGATCCTGGTCCTCGCCTACAAAGCCCTCCATAGCCTTGCCCCACCCTACCTCTGCAACATCCTAACCCCCTACCAACCCGCCCGTTCCCTCCGCTCAGCCGGCTCTGGCCTGCTCCATGTCCCCCAACCCACCCACCCCACCATTGGCGGGAGAGCCTTCAGCCACTCTGCCCCCAACCTCTGGAATTCCATCCCCCAGTCACTCTGCCTCGCCCCCTCCTTAGCCTCCTTTACGTCCTGCCTCAAGACCCTCCTCTTCGACCATGCTATCGGCCACCTCCATTCCCTCCTCCCCCCCCGACCCCAGCTTGGGTCTGAAATGCTGTACACTGTCCAGCGCCTTGGGACGTCCTCCCGACGTGAAAGGCACTACACAAATGTAATCTTCTTGTTGTTGTGTCCTGTAGACTTGCTTTAACCAGAAGTGCACCTAACTGTGGCTTCTGAGTGCTAATCAGCTGGGATGCAGTGCTTAAAAAAAAGGTGACTTCTGAGTTAAAAGGTGGTCACTGATGTTGGGATGTGGGAAGAGTTGCTGATGTTACTTCCTCCACATGGTGTTTTTTTCTTGTACATAGCAGGCAGGGCATGATGTCAGAGGCACTTTCTGCAAGTAGCAGAAAGTGGGGTTAGCAGTATTTTTTGAGCTTCACTTATAACGTAGCCACTGTCATTGAACCCAGCCAACGGGATTGCTCTGTACGTGGAGTGATGAGCTAGGGAAATTTTGGTTACTCTGTGGTCAGAGTAACAACATAGCAGATCATTATCAAAAATGCATTTTTAATAAAAGTGCAAGAGTTCTGAGATGGTTGGAATGAATAACATTTAAATGGGTAAACGTTTGAATTCTACCTACTATATATTTGACTACGCTAATTCAATCGTAGCCAAAACGTAACAATCTCCAAAAGATGTATTATGTTTCCCACATTTTATGATGCGTTGCTAGTTTCATTGATGTAGTCACCACAATGCATGTTTTTAAGATTATAAACCTTGTGTCAAACTGTTATGTTCTAATATTATTTCTCATAACTAGAATATACTGTTTATTGTTGCCCTTTCATTTGCTCTTCTGCATATTCTCTGAAGCTATGGTTTTCAAAAATATACATTTTGACAAAAATCTTATTGTAATCAGCATGATGGTGGCAGCACTCTAATTGTCTTAGAGCCCCCTCGGGCTAGGAGGGGAAAATTAGCCAGAATTTTCACTTTTAATCATTATTCAGTGACCCCTATCTTCAAGGTATAGAGGTTAAGCAAGTATAGTATTCAGTTTAGTTTTAATATCCCCTGCAGCTAGAGTTTGCTAATGCTGTTTGGGTTTGCACGTGAAGGATAAAATGTTGGACCTCTGACATTGTGTCGCCCACAAAATGTACAGTCAATTCACTTCACAGTATATTCTGTGACGCTCTTTGAGACGTCTCAAAGACGTGATAAAGCGCTATATCACATGCAAGTATTGTTGTTATTAATCCGACAACACCTCCCTTCCCTCATGGTTTTCCGTTCTTCAAAATGCACGTCAATATGAGGGAAAGGTTTTTAAACAAATCGTATTCGCTTTCTGTTTGTTTCTTTAAAATCTAACATTTAACATTTTCTTCCAACAGAAAGAATATTACTCGGCCTTTTGAAGATCAAACCTCATTGGTGAGTTTAATGTATTTTTGGAAGTTTACACGCTATAGACTAAGTATTGTGTTTCTGTGGGCACAACAATATTTTGTTCTATTTTACGATATATAAAATGACTATTTTCTTTGTTGGGGGGTGCTGAGCATTTTTTTTAAGGTTAAACATGGGGAGGTCATGGTATTGTATAAAGTGTGTATTGCAGGAGATTATTTGGGTCCTAGGAAACGGCAATTTTAACATTTATCTAAAATTTTTGGCAAAAAATTGATATAAATCCACTCTTGGAGAGATCTGATATTTAAGATCAACAAGATCTCGGAGTCCTGCTGAGTTGAGGTCAGCTGCAGGATCAGTCATTTTTTAGCTTCTGTCTAGACATCATTGAGGAACAATCTGTTCCCAGATGCACAAGTTATTTTCATTCTCATCTATCTCAGCGCATTCACTTTGTTTCTTCCAATGGCTTCTCCTCCTGCCCTTGCACTGTCGCTTGCAGAATTTTTCAGGGCTCTATCCTTCATCCTCTCCTTTTCACCATCTACATGCTTTCACTTGGCATTGATCATGCTATCACCTCTGAGTCAGAAGGTTGTGGATTTACACCCCACGTCGGGACTTGAGCTCACATAATCTGAGCTGACACTAATTCATTGCTCTGGGTGTGTTACAATTATTGTTACTATTATTACATAGTTAAATATCAACAAGACTGCTTTGGTCTTATCAGCACCTTTTCAATTTAGGTGCTGACCACATTGCTCACACCATCTCACAGAGCTTGTGCGGAACCTCAGTGTCTTGTTCGACCCTCACCTGTCCTTCAAGCCCTACGTCTGGGCTCTCACTTGATCACCTTTCCCTCCACAACTTTGTCCACCTTTCCCCTGGGCTGCCAAGGTCACCATCCATACCTTCATCATGTCCAGGATTGATTTTTCCGTTACCCTGCTCTCTGTCTGTCTGGCTCCTCCCTACACAAACTGCAGACCCATACCCAGAATATACGCAGTTCTGGAGTCCCTCTTGCATTAGTCCAGTTTCGCTCTGTCCACAGAAATGTACAATAAGGAATTGGTCTTTCACAATAAACAATATTTTTGTAAAAATTGTATGACTTGTTTAATTTGAGATTCAGTAATTTTGGGATTTCTCATTTTGCTAACCTAAGTGATTACCTTTTGTTCACAGGAATTTTTTTCTAAAAGTCTGATTGTTCTTTATTTGCGTTTGGCTCTCACAATAAAAAGCGACCGAACAATTTGATAATAGGTAAGATGTGCAGCTATGTTGTGATACTTCAGCCCACTGCTCTTGTAAACCATTGAAGCATATTTCTTCCATTGAGTTGCTTAACAAAAGCATTGCTTTTGAATAATTGGAAGAGAGAGAAGCAGTATTGATTGGAAGCACAAGGTTTGGTACTTTTTCCCCGCATCTATATAATATAAAACAAGGTTGCATTTTTCCTACTTAGAATTTTGTTGATTCAATAAATCTTATGAACTGTGCTCAGGTCACTGATAACAATAATAATCCTTGAATTCGATATAGCACCTTATCATGACTTCGCAACGTCTCAAATCACTTCACAGAATATACTGTAAAGTGAATTGACTGTATATTTTGTGGGAGAAACACGGAAGCCAATTGTACACAGCAGTGTCCCACAAACAGTCGTGGATTGAGTGACCAATTTATTATTACATAAGTTACTTTGGTGTTACATAAGTGTCATGTTGAGGAAAGCTTGAGGGTATTAATTGCCATCTGCTACCTATTAGATCTTTTAAAAGAAATTATAATTCCTCCAGCCTTTTTGATTGTATTTTAATTTGTGAAGCTTTTGATGCCTCATTGTGCTTCTTAGAGGAGAGTGCAGCGAAGCTGTAGTAGTTCATCAGCAACAGTTTAGAAAATACTTATAATCTTTGGATTTGTTATAGTGTCTTATGTCATTGACGCATCTCAGAGCACTTCACAGGATTTTACTGTGAAGTGTAACCTTATAATAATCCCTCCAAAAACAATAATAAATTGGTCATTTTCAATCTACGACTGTTTGTGGGACATTGCTGTGCGCAATTGGCTGCCGCGTTCGCCCACAAATATACAGTCAATTCACTTTACAGTGTGTTCTGTGAAGCGCTTTGGGACGTTCTCCTGACGTGAAAAGCGCTATATCAAATGCAAGGATTATTATTATTATTTCTCAGCAAACTCAGCAGCCAATTTGCACACAGTAATGTCCCACACGCAGCCATTTAGTGCACAGTCAATTTTATCTGGAAGATTGTTGGCCAGGATACCGGGAGAACCACCCTTCCCTTTTCTAATAGCATAATGGGATCTTTATTATCCACCTAAACAGGGAGACTTAGCTCACCATAGCATCTCATCCCAATAATGCTGATAATATCTTAAAAGTCCCCATAGCGGGACAGGAACACACAACCTTCTAACTTGTAGGCAAGGGTGTTACCAATTGAGCCAGGCTGGCACAATAAGACAAGGAGGAAAGGGGCCATCAGGAAAAAATTTTTTAACAGAAAAGGTTGTTAGGATGTGGAATGCAGAGGTCGAGACAGGATCCACATTAGCTTTCAAGCGGGAACTATGTTCTTTCAAAGAGCCAGTTGGACACAATGAGCCTTATTGCCTCCCCTGCTGTGAAGTTTTATATTTACAATGAAACAAAGTCTGCCAATGATCTTTCTATATAGAAACAGCTGACCTTTAAACTGAACCTCTAGTTTAGCCCACACACTATATAAGCATTCTCTTAAAACCTACAATGTAATCAAAGCTTGTTTTTGATTACGACTTTTTGTAGGGGATTTAAATGCACTGAAAGTGACCCAGATTTAAGATATGTAATCCAAAGACTAAGGCCTACTGTAAGCACAAGGCATTTCTATTTCATTTGCAAGGTCAAATTCTATCACCAGTGACCTTTTTTATAACTTCAAATTTATAAAGTGTTTTAATTTGGTTATATTCGCATAATTGTTTTTCTTTTATTAATAGATTGTTTTCTATCTTTAAAGGGCGCATGTTTGATTATCATGTTCTAGATATGATTGAGCTGGGGATTGAGAAGTTTGTTGGTTTGAAAGACTTTAAGGTAAAATCACATCACAATTTTTTTTTTCCTTTTGAAATTCTTGTGGCCCAATGGGCTAATTCAAGCAATTCAGCAGACACATGTTTAGCTTTTGTTTTCTAGAACAGCAAGTCGCCAGAGGGGACCAAACCTATGCTGATTTTTGCAGGTGATGATTTTGAAACGGACAATGATCACAGGAGGTTAAAAAGCCTCCTTCTTGGTAAGTATATTGTCTTAATAATTATACTATTTGTATTGGGTTGAGAAGAGATTAGTACTTCCTAAGCTTTGAATATCCTACTTTCACATTGCACTGCTTCTTGCTCCAACTAATTCATTTTCAGAGGTTGAAGGATATGAAACCTGTTATTTCTTCCTTTTCTCCCTATAATTTTGCACTTTTAAACTAAGCATGATGTCACCTAATCAATTCATCTTGTTTCCTCTGCTACTCTTTTTACCCTTTACCGATGAACCATGGTCATTCAATTTGGTTGTCGATAAAGTAACCCCATCTTGATCTGGGCATTAGAAGTTGCAAGAGTAACGCACACCTATTTCCCCCATTCTCTTTTGCCCTCCTTTTCACTTTGGGGAAGAGCCTGGATGCTGGCTCACGAACATTGCCCAGAGATAATTGTCAAATATGTTTCAAAACTTGTCTAAAGACTTGCCTCTTTGACTATGCCTTTGGTAATCTCCTCACTACTTTCTCTTCCACCCCCTCCCCCCCAGTTCAGCTCAGGCTATCACTCAGTATTTGTAAAGCGCTCCCTAAGTGAAAGGTGCCGTATAAGTGCAAATTGTATTTAAATCGGCATTCTGTAACACATGTTGTAAAACTGATGTACTATTAACTGAGTAATCTTTGGACAAAATAATCATGTTACTAAGTAACCAAGCTATCAATCCATATTGAATGGTTTTCCAAGAATAAGCCTGCTTGTGTTTTATGGCGTAAAGTGGAAAGCTAGATAATGGTAATGTGATAAGCAGTAAATGTTTAATGTGTAAATAAATATTTGATTATTATGAAAAATGACCAATCATAAAGCGATAAGAAAATGTAGCTTAATTTAAAGGATGTTTCATTTCTTTGAATGTACTTGCAAGATTTCTTCCGAGGCCCTACGGTACACAATGTTCGTTTGGGTGGCCTGGAACTCGTCGTTCAATTCACAGCTTTGAATGGAAAGATCTTCATGCGGAGTTACAAGTGAGTTATCAGCAAATTTACTTTAAAGCTGATCAACTATCTGTGGCCTCAACCACTGTACAGTACTGCAACACACTTGTCAATTTTAAGATTGCAAACAGATTGAAGTCAAAACAAAAGAGAGTTGGTTGGCATAATCTGTTTTTGACTGAAATGTTTGCTCATTTGGAACATGGATTCAGTTCTGCCCTGACTGATGAGATGAATCTTTGCTGGCTGCTGAGTGAAATAATTTCAACACCGTTCTTAGTGATCATAAAATCAGAATTCAGAAATTCCTGTAATTTGGCGTTTGACTGTTAATATAATAATAATAATCCTTGCATTTGATATAGCGCTTTTCACGTCTTCTAGACGTCCTAAAGCACTTCACAGAATATACTGTAAAGTGAATTGACTGTATATTTGTGGGCGAACGTGGCAGCTAATTGCACACAGCAATGTCCCACAAACAGTCATGGATTGAAAATGACCAAATTATTATTGTTTTGTTTTTTTGAAGGGATTATTATTAGGCGTGTGGAGTAAGGAAACTTGCCCAAGGTTTCGCCCTGCCTGGAATTGAACCCAGGTCTCTCACTTGCAAAGCGAGTGCTCTAACCACTGAGCTACAGGACTCCACAATCTCAAATATCTTTGAGAGGTCAAAAGAGTAGACAATGTCAAAATATCACATTGGGTACAGTAGGGGATGCGTCATAAATTTGGACAGAATAGAATTGCAGTGCATTTTACCTACTCAATGTCTGACCTGAAACTGCATGGAGGTGTCACTGAGTGCCAAAGTTGAAAAGTATTTAGCAATATTCGTAACATCCCTCACCTTGTATACAATTACAGCCCAAAAAACATGATGATCTGGCTTGCTCAAAACTGGAACACACTAAAACAAATAACATCCAGTCAGCTTCAGGACGACATTTAGGAAGATTGGTTAATTTTCATATCTAGATATTTAGTTCTGTAGGCAGCCCCCAAAGGAAATGTCATAGTTCAATAGAAACAAAATGCAGCTTTGTGTAGTTTTGTTGTGGGGTTGGTTTGTATAACAGCCTCATTTTGGAGGTTGTAGCAGCTCTGAGAGCTCCCAGGAACCTTTTAAATCTGAACTGTATCCACAGCTACTTATTCTTTCCAGGGCTCAGATTATGCATACTACAGAACTACCAGCAGAGGGCATTACAACCCTTCATGCTGAAAGTCAGAGCCCTTCCATTATTTTCTGGTTTATAAGTAAGCACATCTCTGTAACGCTACAATGTAAGGAATCTGGCCTCCAAGGAATATGCATGTGGTGTGTATAGTGAAGAATTAGTTTCCACCACATTGGAATAAAAGCCTAGTCAGCTCATTGCTTTGATAGCTGAAGATGCTAGTAGTATTATCATTTGTCATTAGTTTAACATTTCCTTTAAGAGGCCTCTCCTGGTCGCCTAGTGGGTAAATGCAATGCTCCTGCGTTGGGGGTGGGAGGGGGAGGGAATCATCATTGCTTCCCACTACTAATCACTATCCAGAGACCCTGCTGGAAGGTGTGGTACTGAATTCCAGGAAAAAGGAAAAGAAACAGCTTTGGTGGAGGGGGGAGAGATAAACTTGCAATGAAATGTAATGAAATGGTGTATCCTGTGAAATCTCCCACTTTTCTAGTGAGATGTGTATTTGGGTCCTGTACACAATTACTGCTGTCAGACTGAAGAAACTGCAAGTCTTTTTGATCACAGAATCAAATGGATACATCTATTGTTGAATTACTTTTATAGTCAAAATACTGCAGGTTTTCTGAAGAACTTGATCTAAACCATATAACATGCTACTATGTTATGACCTTCCTGGGTAAACTCAGGCAATTTTGTTAATTCAATTTCTTTTAAGTTAGTTGATTGAGACAAGTATAGGAAGTTGTCAGGGTAGTTGTCTGAATGGTCTTCACTGCTTCTCGTGCTGTGTGTTTGTGCCAGGATAACATCAGTTGTGAGCACCGTAGTATTTTCATCTGACTGCATGAAGCAAAGTGGAACTTCAAAATCTTGTTCATTTTGTGCAAATGGAACTGTGGCATAATAGCACTGTTGCATAATTTACTTTGATATGAATATTAGAACAGCAAAGTGTCATTTGCTCGGATATCCAATTTTAGCTTCTTAAAGTCTGTTTTATGCACAGGGTATTGATGAAGAAATCAGGCTGCAGAATCCCTAGGATAGAGCTGGAAGAAATGGGACCCTCATTTAATTTTGTGCTGAGAAGAACACACTTAGCATCTGATGACCTCTACAAAAAGGCCCTTAAACAACCAAAGGCTCTTAAGGTGAGATGGGTAGACAATCTTAAGCTGTTGAATTTCCAAGATGTTGAATTATGAAACTTGTCTTGTGATTGCATTTGTTTAACTATGATATAGTTTTACTATGGTCCTTATAAGATTGGATGTTTTTTGACATAATTTGAGCATTACAGCAGAGCCCCGTTATAAAACATTAGCTGGAGTCCATAAAATGGCAAACAGTGTTATAACGGCGCAATCATCGATCAGCACTTTTGCATTCACTTGGCATATGCACAGAAAAACAAAATGCTGACTGGTGTGGGGGAAACCAAAATGACCTATTTCCAACCTCCATCATTGCTTCCTGTACTCTGAATGCACTTCTGGATGTGCTGTTGGTGACCTGACAATGTGACATTTTGGCATCCCGTCGGTGTTTCATCTGTATCTGATCATGTGATGAAACCGCAATGGATGGGCCTGTGTTGTTTGGGTAAGGAAAGGTCAGGGTCCAAACCCCACACAGTAAATGATCCCATGTTCTAATGAAGCATTTTTTTCCCATTATTTAACCATATTTACTCAAGGGCAGAATTTATCATACATTTTTGCACTAATATTACATTGTTCTACATTACATTATATAACTTGCTCAAAATTAAACTATGAAGAGCCAAATGAAATATTGAAGCAAACCATTTAGATTTTACATAAACATTCTTGTTTTCGTGGGAGTAGAATAACTAAATGCCTTTTATCCCTTCTCCACTCAGTTCCAATCTCAGAGGTGAGCTGTGTTGGCGAGTGGAGGTTGAGATGAAAATAAATCTGTCCACTTGGACTCACCATGCTCTGACTCAAACTAGCTAAGAGTAGCTTTAACAGTGGCTCGTTAGAGTTATATGGCCTGAAAGGGGAGGAAAAATAGGGTGCTGTCTCATTGAAGCAGTGTTCTCTTGTAATATTTGTCTTGCAAAGTAGGGGAAGGGATAGGTTAGCTGATCATAAGTTAGCATAGGTAGAAACGATTGAAAATCTGCAGCTTGGTATCCCCTTGCAACTGAACATAGGAACAGGAGGAGGCCACTGAGCCCTTTGAGCCTGTTCCGCCATTTAATTAGATCATGGCTGATCTGTGCCTCAACTAATCCTTTCACTTCCAATTTCCCGCTTTCTCCCCAAATCTCTTAATACCCTGACCTACCAAAAATCCATCAATCTCTCTCTTGAAGGTATGGATGGATCCAGCATCCACGGCCTGGTGGGGGAGAGAATTCCAGATTTCTACCACCATTTGAGTGAAAAAATGCTTCCTGATTTCACTCTTAAATGGCCTGGTTCTAATTTTAAGACTATGCCCCTTGTTTTGGATTCCCCCACCAGAGGAAATAGCTTCTCTGTATCTACCCTATCAAATCCCTTTATCATCTTAAATACCTCAGTCAAATCACCCCTCAACTTTTAAAACTCATGGAAATATAATCCTCGTAACTTAACCCTTTTAGGCCTGGTAACATTCTGATGAACCTACCTTGGTAAGTGTAGGGAGGGAAGAGAATTCAATTACATTTTCATTTACTGCTGAAAAATAGTCACGAAGTTCCATTATAATAGGCAATAAAGTGTAAGTATCTGAAAAAGGAGAAGCCTAAAACAAGAGCATAAATTTCAAGTAAAGCCTGGTGAAAATTGTTGATGAAGTACATGGAATCGTAAAAATGTTACCCATTAAGGTCATTCTGCATGTGTTGTGCTAGCACCCCACTAGAGCTATCCGAAACACTGGTCCAGCGCCTTGAGACGTCCTCCTGACATGAAAGGCTCTATACAAATGTAATTTTGTTGTTGTAATATTGAATTAAATTCAGACTTGGGTTGCTCTGGGCGAATTTGTTTCGGATGTAAATGTATGACTAGCAATGATGTGGAAAGAAAGCAATTCCTATTTATTTTGTTTGTTACAGGCTAAGAAAAAGAAGAACATTTCCCAAGATGTGTTTGGTACAACATACGGTCGAATCCATATGCAGAAGCAAGACCTCAGCAAACTGCAAACAAGAAAATTGAAAGGACTGAAAAAAAGGAAGGGAGAAAAGGATGCTGGGGATGGCGCGATGGAGAGTAACTTGAAGAAAGCAAAAGTAGAGTGAAGAGACGATTGCAAAATGGAAGGAATCTGGGATTTTCTGCAACTATATCTTGTTGATACAAAGCTGACTGTTTATCATCTGTAAACAACTGTTGGATATCTAAAATACCAGTCAACCTGTTGACTAAAATAGACCCACTAGTTTTGTCATCATGTAGGCTTAATGAGGATAGTGTTTCTGAGAAAAAGGGGGATTTTTCCCCCCCTCCTAATTGTATTGAATACAGGATTCTGAAAATAATTTTCTAAGGACTGTTTATATTTGGCAAAAAACTTATCACATTTTGTGATGCTCCTTTTGAACATGGCCATGCAGTAGACACCTTAAATACTTTTATATACTTGCAATGATATTGCTTATTGCCTGCATCTCCCTCCAAAGGCCATATAAAATTTGTTCTCAATTTAGAGGACATTTGGAATATATATCAAGTTCATTCCATGAGTTAGGAAAACCTGAACTTTTGTATGATGGATCAAAAGTATAAAAGTGTCCCTGTTTGTTCAACACATGAAATAAATATTGTTTATTAATTTTTGTGGTCATCCAGTTCACTACAATTATATGCTAAACGGACATGTTGAGCCATTGATGATACCATAATGAACTAAACAGAACTTTGCTGCTGAAGTTTCTTCTTAAGGCTTGAAGGTCCATCTTTGTGGAAAAGAAATATTTGAGAGAAAATGTAAACTTGGAATACAAACCATCAAGATTATCCTAATTGTATATTTTGAACATTACTGTATAAGCAATTTTTATTTTGTGACTGTCACTCTGGAATTGTTCGGTGTTGAAGCTGAGATCAACTCCATAGTGGAGTTCCAGAGTCAGCTATAATACAACTGAGATATGCTATTTACATATCTTTTGCAAATTAGACCACAAAAGGTCAAGACCTTGAAGGTAGATGCGTTAGTTGCCATGGATCTCACATTTTATACGTAATGTACCAACCAAGAACTTTATGCAAAAGTTAATTCTAGATAAGGTTCCAAGTAGGTATCTCCACTCATCCCAATTTGAATCGAATTCCTGGAAAAGGACATAAGAGAAGTATGAAACAGTCCGAAGATCTGGGTTGAATGTTTGGGAGAAATTAAGCACTGCCTAACTGGACTATATTCTCCTTGGTAAGGTAGCTGTCCTTCCTCCCCACATCTGGTCCCTGACCAGGACCGCCACCTTCTGCCTCCACTACATTGCCCACCTCCAACCATACCTACCCCAAATGCAGCTGAGACCGTCGTACATGCATTTGTCACCTCCCGCCTGGATTACTCAAACGCGCTCCTCACTGGTCTCCCCAGCTCCACCATTCAAAATATCCAACTCATTCAGAACTCTGCCGCCTGCATACTAACCCGGACCAAACTCCATCCCCACATCTCACCAGTTCTGACCAGGCTCCACTGGCTCCCCATCACCAAATGGATCGACTTCAAGATCCTCACACTCATGTTCAAATCTCTTCACTCTCTGGCACCTCCCAACCTCTCTGACCTCCTCACTCACCAATCCACCACCCGATGCCTCTGCTCGACTGGCACCAGCCTCCTGCTATTCCTGCGCACCAGTGCCCCACCATCGGAGCCACTACGCCACCAAACGCTGGAACTACGCCTCAATCCCGCCGCCTTACCCCCTTTTTCAAATCCAGCCTGAAAACCTTTTTGAGTGTGCTTATGACCACCTACCTCTGCCCTCCCCCCACCCAGCTTGGAGTCAGGCTCTGTCACTGTTGAGCACTCTGAGACGCTACCCTGCATGGAGGGCGCTATATAAGTGCAAGTTGTTCTAGAATCAGTTTGTTGAATTCCCCATTTATCAAAATTATCAGGGATCTAATGTTGGAAGATTTATATGGCACAAATGCTGTTTCTCAACAAGTATTGTTTTGATTTGGTGAGTGGAATAACCTAGTCGTAGCAAAAAGTCAGGTATGGATTCCTTTTGGGATTTTTACTTTTAAGTCAAATTAATGATGTATTCTTGAATTCAACGTTGATAGATTTATTCAAAACAAAGAATAGAATATGTAAGACTTGTGTTCATTTATTACAGGAATTTGCTATGTACAACTTAGTTTATGCTTTTGCACCTTTATTTTATAAATCATCAACCTTGCATTTGATATCGCACCTTATTTCATTGAAGGATCTCAAAGAATAAAGTATAGGTTACTGAGCTTGAAAGCAAATGTGGTAGCCAAGAAGGGAATTCTCTCTTGGGTATCTCCCTCATGTTTATATTCCCTCTATTCCCTTCTCCACTCATATATGTTATAGTATGTTATGAGGCAGTAGGGGATAGGGGATTAGATGGATGGGGGCTCCTGTAAAATATAAACAATGTTTCAGTTGTGTACAATGGACTGTAATTCTATGAAGAAATGGCCCACAAAAAGTGAAAGACCCAATTTTTTTTAATCTGGGAATTGTTGACCAGGACATCTGGAGAAACTACCTTCTATTTTAGCATAGTGCCAAGGGATCTTTTTACATCCACCTAAACAGACAAGACAGAACCTCAGTTTAACTTCTCATCTGAAGGACAGCATCTCTAGTAAAGCAATAGTTTCTTGGGGGGGGGGGGGTGTCATCCGGGTGTCTGACACATGAAGAAACTCATCACCATGCTTAAAAGTATCCAAACCAAACTGAGAATCCCACCTACACATGGAAATCTCAGAGATAGATTGTTGGAATGGCATGCACACTCTTGCTGGAGGAACACATCCTCTTTACCTAACTGGATTAGGTGCAGGTTGGCAAGAGCCAAGGTTTGGGGACCCCAGAGTGTGTATTGGGGACTCCTGAGTGTGTGTTGGGGTACTGCTGGAGTCTAACCAGTTAAAATCAGCATAGCTTGTCATTGAAAGCATTGTCTGGCTAGCTTTTCCGTTGCTTGTCCAGACTCCTCCACCATTGCATTGATTGTCAGCTGGTATAATGTCTGACCAGTGTCTGTTCGTCAGGAAAGCTATAAATGAATTCTTAAATAAACTCACAACGTCTAGGTTAATTAAACAAACCAGAGTTAGATCAAAGTGTTCTTAATTAAAAGGCTGGTAAATATTTGATACTATATTCAAGAACAAGAAGAGGGATCACATTTTGTACTGCAAAGCATATTATCAGCATACATCATAAGCTTTGTTCGCTGCTTCTTGTTTTTATTCCTTTGATGATATTGGAATACTGCTGAAATAAAAATAGTTGACCAGAATTACTTGAAAACAACAATAACTGCAATGTTACAAATTAAAATGTGGGCTATTTGCAGTCCTTTGATTAATTGATTGTGTTCAACCTTAAGAACAGATGTCACAGCCATCTGCAGCTAACTGTATCCTTATCAACCAAGGACTATAAAGATGTATTCACGTTTAACCAGTTCAATGCCTTCTCTCTGTTCAAGCCACCACCAGTGTGTGGCTATTTCACTACAGCTGATACCGATTATGAAAAAACGATTGTCTGAGCACTGAAATTCCTCAATATGCTTGGTCACAGTTGAGTATCAGTTGAGACAGGCTCCCCAACAGACTAGTACAATAGTTAGTTATAATTATAATTCAAAGATCTTTGAATTATAATTGGCTATCAAGATTAGTCAGTAGCAAGAACACTGCAAGAGCTCCCATCTTTTCTGGGTCATTGAGTTCCAAGTGTTTTGGCCAGAGCTCCATGAAGCCCAGTAGGTACATTATGAATGGGTACCAATCTGGGAAAGAGCCATGTCAAATTCTCCACGGAATCAGTCTAGACCCATTTTATCACCTACTCTGGCATTATGCCAACCTATAATTTAACACACACTGAAATCAATTGAGTAGTTCCTTGAGTAGTTTATTAAACAATTATTTTAATAAAGTGGATGATCTTTTCCATTTTCTCCCTTCTTACCAGCAGGTGCCTTGTTATGACAGAAGAAGTTGTCTAGGACATCAATCATACTGGATTATGCTTTTGAGCAGGAATTCCACTTTTCTGCTTCAGTGGATGTACAACTACTGACTTTTTCCTTGTAGGATTATGCTGCATCTCAAAAACATATTGGCTGTAAAATGTTTGCTCTAATCAACTCAAGACTGCAGTAACTTTCAATTTATAATTCCTGATTTTATTTATTATTATTACATGGTCTCAAGTCCAAAATTGAACCCATTAGGATAATAGTGTTGGTAAAGTTTAATTGGTTACTTATGTTTAGGGTTGATGTTATTGACCATTGCCTCAGTGATTGTTAGAAATCAAAGATTAGGTGCAATGTAACTTCTTTCTTGACCAAGGGAAGGAGGCAATTAGCATTTCTGAGATAGTGGGCTCCGTTCTTCCTGTTGATCACTAGAAATATAAACAAGCACAACTAAGATGTAACTAATGTTTAACAAAAAAACTCCCAAGCAAAACAAGCTGAACCAGCATGATATCTAATTGTTTCTATTCTCTCCCCTCGTTCCCCTTCCCCCCAACTTTTGGGCACTCTTTCTGTGGAACAGAATTACTACCACCCTCTGTTAACAGCAGAAACAAGATTATATTTGTATAGCGCCTTTCATGTTGGGAGGACGTCCCAAGGCGCTGGTCAGGGTACAGCATTTCAGACCCGAGCTGGGGTCGGGGGAGAAGGGAGGGGAGGGGAAGGGGGATGACTGATGGCATGGTCAAAGAGGAGGATCTTGAGGCGGGACTTGAAGGAGGCTAAGGAGGGGGTGAGGCGGAGTGACTGGGGAATGGAATTCCAGAGGTTGGGGACAGAGTGGCTGAAGGCTCTCCCGCCAATGGTGGAGCAGGTCAGAGCCGGCTGAGCAGAGGGAGCGGGCAGGTTGGTAGGGGGTTAGGAGGCCGCAGAGATAGGGTGGGGCGAGGCCATGGAGGGCTTTGTAGGTGAGGACCAGGATCTTAAACTGGATCCTCTGAAGGATAGAGAGCCAATGGAGTTGGGAGAGAATGGGGGAGATGGGGTCATGGAGTTTGGTGCGGGAGAGGACACGGGCTGCAGAGTTCTGGATTATCTGCAGCCTGTGGAGGGAGGAGTTGGGAAGGCCGACAAACAGGGCGTTTGCATAGTCTGGAGGTGATGAAGGCATGAACAAGAGTTTCAGCGGCCTGAGAGGTGAGGTAGTGGCGGAGTCGGGCGATGTTATGGAGGTGAGGGAAGGCAGAGTGGGTCATGGCTTGGATGTGGGGAAGAAAAGACGATTGAGGGTCGAACAAGACACCAAGGTTCCTGACTGACTTGGTGAGTTGAAGTGTGAAACCATGGAGGTTGATGCTGCCGGAGCCTGAGGTGCTGAGGCACTGATGTGAGCCAATCAGGAGGGCCTCAGTCCTGTTCACATTCAACTGTAGGAAATTTGCCCTCATCCAGGACTTGATGTCTGACAGGCAGTCTGTCAGGACAGCAGTGGTCCTGGAGTTGAGGGTTGAGGCAGAAAGATAGAGTTGGGTGTCATCCGCATACATATGGAAGTTGACCCCATGTCTGCGGATGATGTCGCCCGCCCAACCGCCTCACCATCGGCAGT